CCCCGCCGAGCATTGCGAGTCCAATAGACTCAATGCTTGAGCGCCGCGGCGCACCATGGCGCGCGAGCCGCGTCCTGGATACGGCGCACAGCACTGATCAAAGGTCGCAGGCTGCGCGAATCAAAGGGCGCTGATCCGACTGATTAATGATCGGAAAAACCGAGCTTGTCATCATCGAGGCACGAGTATCTCCGAGGGAATATAATACAATCACAGATGGCTTCTGCGCTCCCAGAATCACTGTGGTTTTCAATCTCGCAAATTGAACAACCCTCCGGAGTTCTCTGATTCGAATGCATCTCCACGAGCAGACCAGAGCTGTGCTCTCCGGGTTCGATCCGTACTCCTCAATCAGCTGTTTCTTCCCGCCCGGTCCGTTCCGAATCTCGGTGGACAGTCTGGTTACTACGTTCCCTCTTTCTCTTCCAACAGCTCAGGGAACAGAGGGCTCGCTCGAAACGTATAGCAATCCAGTGTGGCACAGCGAGGCGCAATTCGATGGAGTAATGCAATCCCACTGATCTATAGCGGGAGGAGCAATCGCAGGACATGGCGTGGGAAGATCAGAGGCCGAGGAAGTTCCGCTCCAAGAGACGATGAAATTTCGTTTCCCTCACCTCGTCAATCCCATACCCTCGCTGTACTCTTTATCCATGCGCTCGTTTCTCTTCGATGCAGTTCCCAAACACGCGTCTGGTGAGAAAGGGGGCTGGAGGGGCGTTCGCGTCGAGCATTGGGTTTCTGAGCTCGAAGCCAGGTACCAGAGCCCATCTTGCGAGTTAGAGGAAGAGGAACGTTTCCCCTCGTTGCTTCGCGTATTTCATTTCATCAGGAAATCTATTCGTTCCCTCGAGCTCGTGACCTCTAAACGAGGAAAAGGATGAGGCGGCCCAGAGTCTGCATCGTAGATGCTCAATGGAGTAATCTCTAAAAAAAACCTATCAACTTGGATTATGATATAGGAGCCGAAATACAGCACGAAGTCCTCGGAGACCTCAGGATCGGGGACGGTCTTGATCCTGTTGTTGCGCAGCGCGTAGTCATCGCCTGCGTTGGACGTCACTTGGAGCCCTGATCGAATAGAAGGAATCCTATTTTTTCCTCGGTGGGAAGCAGATAAGCGAAACCATATGAGCTAATTTTTCGAACGATGAGATTTCGAAACTCTCTCTCAACTCGCCCGAGACGGAGGTTACCTCTGGCCGTTCTGAATCCCCGTTCTGAATGCGTTGTTCTTTTTCTCGACACGTAAGTTCGACGGCGCCTCAGGCATTTCTCAAATACTTCTCCTCACTTCGGGCCTCACGATTCTTCTCAATCCGTCATGATTCGCCGAATATCGCTCGAGCCAGAACAGGTCAGAAAGAGAGAAAACGAAACACTGGCGGCAACATACTGTGTCGGAAACTCCCCTGGATATTCCGGCATGCGTGGAGTTACTATTATTTTATAGTCAGCTTCGTTGCTTCGGAGAGTATCTGCTGCTGAGCTTGGAGATTGCGTCCGGATGTTCCAAATGTCATGAAATCGGAGTGTGATCGCTGTTGAGACCACTGCCCGGGGCGCTTATTCCAAGGGCACTAATGATTCGAAAGTTCACAATCCCTCGGCCTCGCGACTGAAAAATGCTGCGGGCCGAGAGTTGATGCGGCCTCTGACTCCGGAGCTCCTTGACTTTGAGCGGATCGAACGGATTACGACCGGAATTCGAATCGCCCCGCTAATGTAGATAATTCGCAACGGCGAGAAATCATTCAGCTGTTCTGAGGTAGGCCACATGGTCGGCTTCTCGCTCCGTCGGTCGGGTGAGCGAGCGCGTTTGTTCATCCGCTCGCTCGCTCGAGACGGTCCCTCTGTCCGACGGTCAATTCAATACGTTTCAGGGAGCGTCTCTGTTCCTGCCGGAAGCATTCGTTTCGAGAGACCTGAGACCGGATCAGCCGATGCATAAACAGATATGACATCGGAATCGTTGCTCAGTGTTAGTGAGCTCTCGTTCCAGTAGGTAATGACGAAGGAGCCTGACTCGGAAGACAGTTTTTCGCTAGTGTGAAAGCTCTCGCGACGGAGATTCGATAATGCTCTCCATTTCATCCGACGAAGATCCGATCTGATTCCCCTGTGTGAGCGCTCGGTCAGCTCGCAAGCCGGTCGATTCGTGGAAGCCGAGACCAGACGGCTCCATTTCTCGGATTTGAAAAAAATGAAACGATTACCCCTCACACGTAACGATCCGTTCAGTCGTTTTTTTTTCGGAAGGAGAAACACACAATAGATTCTTCCTACTTTTGATCAGAACACTGAATTGAATGGATCAATGCATTGCTTTGAACTTCCGTAGGAAAATTCGGAGCCAGGATTTAGGGATGTTTCCATCGGCCAGAAACATGTGTCACGCTCTCATGGACCATGGCACCGGACGGAATATGTAATTCTCGCGGGCGTGAGCTCTCCACATTCTCTCTCGAGGATGCAAACAGCATGGGGAACGAGCTGACGATTTCACTTTGTGTTCGCAGTCTTAATTCTGATAATTGCGCCCGCCCGCTCTCCGTCCGGGAGCAGACCACCGACTCCACCGCCGAGGCAGATGCGGGAGCACTGCGGGGGTGGGCGAAGGTAGGGTCTTTGGCGCGCAGCCACCCTGCACGGGAGTTGTAAGACCGCAGCTCGGTAATGCGTAAATCCGCACTCACCTAAGCCATAGCAGTGGTTGCAGTCCCCACTAGACACCCGGTATCCTTGAATGAAAGCACAAACACCTCAAATGACAGCTGCCAAACGATGCACGACATGAACAGCTGTCGGAGTTCACTTGTTGAACGCTCTAGCCATCTGAGCACCGCACGACGGCAGCGCCGCCGTTTCGTGACGTCACGGAGACGGCATTCAGAGAACTTTCGGCTCGTTTCGAAAATCAGCTGATCTCGACCGCACTGCGCCGACGATCGGGCTTCCCTGACTCGATTCGCCTCGGTTCGAGATGGAAGCGGGAAACTGTGAGGCTCGAGTCCGAAGAGAATTCCTCTTGGGAGTCCGGGGCTTCCTCGGGTCTCTTCGCGCGTAAAGTGCTTTTCGAAAATGTCCCGCCTTGAGCCTAATTTCGAAAGAGCCGCACAGTCTCCAAAAATGAAAGATTTAATTTGTCTGAACAAGGACTATGACTCCTCCGAGCAAGTGCCGGAAAGGATTTCGTCCGGAATACCGGATCGACACCACTGCCGCAAGCCACTCGGTGCAGCGAGAAACTGTCATCGAGGAAGAGGGTAGTCCCGTTCCCGGGCTACGTTTTTCGAAATTGTTTGCGCCGCAGGAGCATCAGATTCGCGTATATTCGAGAATCGAGCTCGGAGCGGCCCTCGAGCATCGGAAAAGCCTCGGAAAGCCTGATCCCGACAGGAGTTATAGCCCCCTTCGAATCCGATCAAGAATAATCCTAATTGTTCCACTCGGTGTTTGGCATAAAGGGCGCATGCCCGCTCGATCTCACTCTCAGTCAGTTCGGTCAAGATGGCGACGCCTATGCTGTCTCTGAAGCATGTAAGTTTTTCATGAGTAAATCATTCAGCATTCGTCTCAGATCCATTCGAATAGCTGAGAAAACCTTCGGCGAGTCCGGAGCACTCACTGAGCCGGAAAAACTCGGTCCTCGAACTCTAATTCTAAAGTCACTGTCCTTGAGACCGAGCGCGACCGGACGGCGCCTCCAGCCCGGCTGAGACCACGAGCACATGGTGTAGGGGAACGCGGGTCGAGGCGTACCGGTGCTTTCGGAAACTCGACCCTCATTTACTTGAGGGGCGCTACGAAAAGTCTCGGAACGCGCTGAGAGTGAAGCACAAGCCGCAGTGAGATGTTGCCGCTAATGCCCGGGGGTGCTCTTCGAGAGTATTCGAGATCTATCCGAGTCGGTTCGCCCTCCCAGGGCCGATTCGATGATTTAATCCGGCGTCGACTATCGGCAGCATAATTCCCCTATCGGATCATTCGCTCCTCTTCTTTCGCCGTGGTCTCCAATGAAATTCTTGTCGCAGGTAGATCTTGAGCGAGCGATGAGGTCGGGAATTATTGAGATTGACCTTGGAGTGAGGTTCTGAAATGCCGGTTGTTCATGAGCCTCTCCGGAGGAGGGACCGCCTCCCCCGCGTACTATTGTCTCCGGAATCAACTCGAGAGTCGAACTGGCTTCTGATTGCTCTTGAGTTCTTAATCAACAGGGAATTGTCTCTTAGCTATCAGAGGAACGCGAGTGGAACGTCTGAGTGCCGTTCATCTTTCTCCATTATCCGCCTTAGGGCCGTTCACCCTGGGAGAGAACCAAAATAATTCAAGAGGAAGCCTCGACCTTGATGTCCGATGACCGCTTACTAAAATCCGTGCCAAGAATATCTCGAGCTCGGCCGGACGCTCCGTAGGTCAGACGCTCAGCGAATCGACAGGATATATAAGTTGTCGTCTCCAGATCATACATGGGTATGTCTATCGGTGAATCCAACTCTCGCTGAATGAGGCTCTCCGACTCCGACCCATTCGATCAGAAGATGCGCGTCGAAAATGACGATAATATCACATTCGAATGGCTAAAATTAGGGATGGGACCCACTATCGCTTTTTCTTCCTGATAAAAAAAGGCCATTCGTTCTCCGTGGAGATCTTATCTCGCGATTATCCGGTATCCAGAGCCCGAAAGATATATCGGCGACATCTGCAGACAGTGAAAGATATTGTCACCGCATTGCCCCTTCGACAAAGTTTCATAGTCTTTTTCTGAACCGAAGAACTACGTAAATGTCTCCTCTATCGACGAACTCAATCGCCACTGGTCAACACTCAATCGCAGGAATTCCTAGCAAGGGTCCAGAGACTTAGTAACGGCTTGCGTTCAGGGGACTGACGCCTGTAAGCCTTGCATCTATTTCTCTATCTCGTTCACCGGCGGCAGGCAGGTCAAGCAGACAAAAACAAGAGTGGCTGGTGTTCGCTCGTATAGTTACGCAGTTATTCGACTTCCCTCGGCTGTGAACAAGAGTCGAGGTGACATGTTGATGTTGAAATTGGGTAATGGCGTTTCAATCGTGAGTTTTCGATCATTATTCCGACTCGATATAGAACGTATACCCTAGAGAAATTCTTCGGCGCCGGCGGGGAGCCGTTCTCTCGGAGAAAATATAGCATCAGCCCTCGATTGAACTGGATGGGATAGTGGTTCAACTCCAGACGCCAGGAACGACATACGTGGATGACGTAAAGGAAATTATAATATGTTTCGAAAATTTCGGAGTAGTAAAGCAATTGTGAACGACCTCTGTTTGAACTTACACAAGCTCTTGCTCACCATTCAGGCCACTTTTATGCAGTTCGTCCTTCGTCAACAAAGTCTGAAGCTCTATCGGGAAATCCTCCGATCCTTGAAACAGCTGGATAACAAGGACCAGGCCAGAGAAATCAAACAGTGGGCTCGACAAGATTTCGAGTGCTACAGGAATTTACAGGATCCGGTGGGTTTCGCAAACGAGGACGAAGGGCTTCCGACACTGACGTTCATCCATCTCGATGGCATTATGAGGTCCAGAATATTTCAGAGAGATCGAGATGACCGAGTTCAGACCCATCATAATCGCTTCTGCTCGTTTCAGGAGGTAATAAAAATGCACCAGGCCCGAGGAAAGCTCGCCCTGAAAGAACTGCGGGCATCTCTCGAGCTGGCGAAATAAGGGCCAGGCCGCATGTCTTCGAGACGCATAGGCGACGCCCATCTCCGCCCACAGACAATTCTGTCTCCTCCATGACCTGACTAGTGATATCGACAGTTCTCAATCGAACATCTGCTGAACAACAACGGACTGAACCACCATCTGCATACGCCTTCAACTGACAGCTTCGACGAGCAAGCTGGGAAACAGCTCATCAGCCCACCTATACATTCATCCATCCATCTTTAACCCAAACTTTAATATCCTCGCTCCTCTTTACCGGAGCATTGGTCAGAATACCGCATCGAAAATATCGCTCGCTGACACCATTATCATGGGAGCTTCCTGCCAATGTAAAGGCGTCCGGGCCTGCGCTCTTTGTGAGCATGACCGAGTGGCAAGCCATCGCCTCAACGTTTCGCGCATCGGGAGAGCATTCGTATTTTGCCCGAAATGTAAGCTCTGTATCGAACTGGATCCCCAAAACGGCGAGCTCGGAGCGTCATCATTCAGACTTGAGGGAATCGAAGTCGCCGAAAACGCCATCACCGAAGATCATGAGAAGTTCCTAGTCGACGCAATCGAATCGGCACCCTGGAAGGATTCGCAGTCCGGACGTTTGAAACAAGACTTTGGCCCCAAGGTGAACTTCAAGAAGAGGAAAGTTAAATGTGATTCGTTCCTGGGCTTCCCTGCGTATATGGACGTCGTCCAGATGAGTTTCTCCAGGATCCCCGGTCTGAACGACTTTGTCCCGGTGGAACTTTGCAACCTGAAGTATAGCCCTGAGCGAGGTTCCTGCATCGATCCACATTTCGACGACTCGTGGCTTTGGGGTGAACGCTTGGTCACACTGAATCTTCTTGGACAAACCGTGCTCACGTTCTCGCAAGCTCAAGATTTCGATGATCTCACTCAGAAACAAACTCATTATGATGGTGCGTCAGCTGTTTATGCACTCTCGCCTGAAGCGCTTATGGACGCGCTCCAAGCCCACGGCTGCGGCTCGGAACAGGGGTCTGAAGCCCTCGGAACGCGCAACAAATGTCAACCTATGGATGTTGTTCACGTGCTGCTGCCTCGGCGCAGTTTAGTGACGGTGGCGAGAGCAGCCCGCTCCGAGTGGCATCATTCGATACTGCGAGAACACGTTACCGAAACTAGATTAGCCATGACTTGTCGGGAGCTCAGCGAGACCTTCCTGGATGTGAACAACGCCGAATCCGAACAGGGAAAAATCCTCCTCGAGAAAGCTCGAGTCAACCCGGAGTTATGATGGCTCGACCTACGCGCGAATTAGAATGGATAAAGAGACGCTCTCGCGGTCTTCGAGCGATGTCCGAGGCGGCCGGGACTGAAATCAGGACGAACTCATCCTGAAGGTGTTAGAGAGGCTGTTGTCTTCGTTGAAGCAGGGACGAGGCGTTTCACGATGTTGTTTTTTGAAGCCGAGCTGTCTTTTTAGGGTTGAGTTAAACCTAATTGCAAAGTGTACATTGAATGAATAAATAAACGATAAAGGTTGCAATTAATCCTCGCTCTATGCTGCTATGCTCGACTTGAATGGTGATTCGAACCCGGATCCAAGGAGATGTCCCGACACAGTGCAGCCCACCAGAGAGCCAGAGAGCTCCCAATCTTCGCGAAGGGAATTCCGGCCTGAAAGGCTGGAGGCGAGCTAGTGGAGACAAATATCAGTCTCACTTCCGAGACATATGTATTCCTCCGCCCTAGAGAAGACGGCAGAATGAGCGTTCGGTAAATCAGGGATTCGAATCCGATGCGTCCGAAAATAAAATGACCCCGAATCTCACAACCCGGCGCCTTACTTCTTCCTTACATCCCATCTCGTTGACTCTAGGTCTCCACAAACGGCGATGTGATGCTTCTCATGTCATTTTGATCTTAATGTGTGGATGCATGTACTTCGGTCTCGGCCTCATTCCTGGCAGAGCGGTGTTCACCGAATTCCGCCGAGACCCCTGAGCCCTGAGCCTGAACCAGCGACGCGAAGCCTTCCCGAGCGCTTGAATACCGGGATTCCCCAACGTACAAGTATCAAGCCTCCGAGAAGTCGCTGATCGAGATTCTACGCTGCTCATGCGGGACGGAAATGGGTATATATATGCTGAGACTGGTAAAAACCTCGTCCTTCGAACGGAATTCAAAATGGGGCGCGCGCGCGCCTGTCGGGGATTGAGACTGTGCGTGTCGAGGGGAGAGGGGCGAAGAAGAAAATAAAGAAAATCGACGGAACACACACAAACAGTGGTTCTAGAAGACGAGTTTAGGTTCATAGCCATCGGAATTCTTCATCGTTGAGCATTTTTGCGCAAACATGAAGTCACGTCGGAGTGGGACGAAGCAAGCAGCTTCTCAGAACTCGAACTCGGCTCTGTCAGTAACGAATCCGAACGACGGCATGGATGTTGACAGCGTCGATACATCAGAATTTCCTGGAGTCGAAATTAAGAACCAATGTCCAGTTTTCCTTCGAATCAAAGACAACAATCAGGTTAGTTCCGAGAGTCTATGGGGTTCTGAAATCGATCTTCCGTCGCGAATATCTCCCCCGAGGATGCGCTCGCGTACGAGATCCAAGCTTTTCTCATCGACGAATTGTGTACTTTGACAGGTTACTCTCGACGACATCGATCCTTTGCAACTCGAGCTCGAAACCCTTCTGGTGGCGGTCGTTCAGCGAAAACAACAAATTCGAGCTCAGTTGGAGGCTCTGGATCACGACGATACCGCACCGATCACGGTCGCGAAAGCTGTCCCTCAGAAGGCGGAAAAGCAAAAGGCTCCATTATCACCTACTTTGCCGGCTCCGGGTAGCAAAAAAGCTCGGACAAGCCTTTCCGAGTCCTCGGACCTTCCGAAAACCGCAAAAAAGGTCAGTCGCCGGAAGCGATGCGGTGGAGATCGGGGACACAGCACTTCCTGAAAGTCTTTGAAAGATACTTCCCTGATTTCCAAGAAGCGTCTCAAGCTAGCATTCCCCCATTCAGCAGATCGGGAAAGGTTTCCGCGAATCGGGCTCCAATCAAACTCCGATTGTATTGCTATTTCAGCCGTCCTTGAAGCCCAGAGGGAGGAAAGGAACCACTCAAATCGTCGACGAGGCTCAGCGGCTCCCTGAACAAGCGGTACAAGGAGGTCAGAAAAGCGGTCGATGCCCGGCAACGAAAGCACCCTCAACTCCCAATGATAGCAGCCATCGTTTCTGGGCTTTCGTCGATGAGTACTGCCGACCGCCTAGTGAAGAGCAGATCCGGGTGAGTGTCCTTTCGTGGGAAGTCTCCATGAAATTTCATCTACCTATATTCGTTTCGCTGTGATCTGCCATTTATCGATCGGCATTCGACCCAGATACTCCTCGTGATCTCGGAAACTGGAATTCAGTCTTTTTCCCTCAGATCCTCGAGTCGATGTTGGCATCACAGGCCGCCTTGAGATCCTCAGACTACGTCAAAGTCCCACCGCTCGGGACACACTACACGGTGAAATGGGCGAAAGACGATCTCTTGGAAGAGCAACGCGAAGCCGCGCCCGATATTTCTAGCAACGAATTGAAGGAAGATATGGAAAGGATCTTGCGACAGACGGCTAAGGAGTCACTCCACGATGAGCGATGCGGGAATCTCGCACACAGATTGATGTCCTGCTTGATCGATGAGAACATCACGGTGAGGCGCGAGAATCTTCCTGTCGTTAAGAAGAATTCGAAAATGCCAGCCGCGGAAATCGCAGGTATCGAGGAACGCATACGAAAGGAGCTGGAAGATCTCGGTGTGATGCAAGCGCTCGCGGAAAAAGTGGCTGAACAGGACGACGAAGTGTTTCTCGAACTCCGAAAGTGCCAAAGTCAGCTATTGTCGTTAGCGAGTCAGAACTGTAGCATCTTGAGAAAAATAATCAATTCGGCGTGGCGGAGGATCGCTGAAGCGAACCTGGAGGCCCAACAGCGCCTAATCGATAATGAAATCCTAGAACACTACAGAAAACGCAAGACCAGTGCTCAGAAGAAGAACGCGCCCCCGTTGTTGAATCCGCCCAGTAAGAAAGAGCGGGAACACCTCCAATCCCTGTTGGAGAGACGAGAGGCTGTTTTAACAAAGCTCGCAGAGATCGCCGACGAAGCGAAAGTCGAACCTGAAACTTGGAGTTCTCAAGCTGGTCCGGCCTGAAGTCTTCCTCACCGAAGTATTGGAGACCTGATCGGCCCTACGCTCGTCACCGATTGAGAGTCATTCTCTTTCGGGGCTCAAGATCATCACATCACGCGATCAAGTTCCTAGGGACGGTGCTCAGTTGAGGGGCGCGGAGCGACTATATAAAACTGGTACATACATACAAACATATATATTTATATTTCGATAGCTATATTAGTATTCATGAAGAATATATGATGAATCAATCGCTGATCTATGACATTGCGAAGTTGTAAGCAAATGAGAACAGAGGCTCAAAGCGCTGTGAGTTAGGTAAAAATTGCCTGTTTTCTTGATGCCGGCGAGGATCTAAGTAATATCACGTCTGCCATCAGAATCCGGCGCGGGTTCTGCGGAAGTTAAGGTCCTTGCCCTCCGTCCTCAATCTTGTACAGGACTAGGAATACTAGGGAAGTCGTCACGATCGCCCTCCGCACAGCTGAGAGCGATGTACATGATCATACAGACCGCGACTTGGTTGAGGATTACGCATCGAGTATTGTTTCTTTGTAGAATGAATCCCGAGTTCAGGAAGTGATTCATCTTCCGCGATTCTGGTACTTTAAACCTCCAGCTCTCACTTAGATCTGTACATTGGATGAAAGCGACTAGCACGAGTCTTGAGATCAATTAGGGAGAGAGCTTTTCCAATGGTCAAGAAGCGATGCTCGCAATCTTCTCCTCCGATTTTTCCCCGAAGGCAGCCTTCTGCTTTCGCGAGGGATGAGAGTAGGACTCGAAGGGCCGACGGCTTTGCAATCGGCGAATCGGGTGCGTCGGAAGCAACATCAAACGATCCACATGAAACTTATGTCACACATTCGTGAACAAATCGAATTCCTCGCTAATGGTGGAAGCACACCATACGATGATATGCAATTCAAAAATGTCGAATAAAATGAAATCACGCTCGATTGAATTTGACCCTGGTGTACTTTCTCGACCCGATGACCGAGAGCTAAAGGCTCGCTTCGCACCGGTGCAGGAGCCGATGATGTGATTGAATGCTCGAGCGGGAGCTGTCTAAACTGCGATCATCCGGGGAAACGGACATTGACCCGATCGCCATCCTCGAACCTTTCCCGTAGGGCAGAAATTCCAATGGAGGCGCCGAGGAATTCGACCCATCGTGACTGGACTTCAGCGTGAAGCCCATCGCAATCAGCCTATGAGTCTGTGGCGATCCACTCTTTTTTGAGCACGCCAGCTGACTGATAACGATGACTACCCTCTCAATAGTTTCGATCCTCAGACGCGAATCACTCCAGAAGTTGCTTCTTCCCGGTGGAACCATAGATTCCCTCGTTGGAGGTTTCTTAAGGCCCATGAGGAAAAACCGTGATATTCCATCATTCGTAGCACCGATGATATCGACGTTGGACCTAGAGATCGTTGAATTCCGGATCGATACCTTCCTCACTGGAAACAGACACGGAGAGAGCCACGGAGGTTGTCACGGCCCACCGGGGCTTGATCCGAACAGCTTCCCTCCCTGGGCGTTTAGTCGACCAACCGGAACATTTCCCTTGTCGAAATGATTCCCCATAACAGAGCTTTGTCCCGAGTTTTCCTCCTTGAGTGAGGAAACGTATATTTCGACTGATCCTATTCTCGACGCGCCATCGGGAAAGACATGCAGTTTGAAGATCTCGAGTTCGCTACCCTGATCTAGTCCAGCGATTCAATATTCTCAATAATCGATGCCTAAGGGAAGCTCTCGCCGAAACTCCTTTCCAATGAAAACCTCGAGGGCTGCCAATCAGAGAGATTTTTTTATTGAATTTTATTTAATGAAATTTGTGCGAGTCGCGCGCCAATTGCGACTCCTCTGTTCAAATGGGGAGAGACCGAATCAGTTTACCGAATTATAAGAAATTTCGCGAGCCAATCGGAAATTTTTGACAGTAGTCAGTCGACGGATAATAGTCTTCGCTACCCACAGCTTCATTTGTTTCACTCCCTCCAGATGCCAAATCCCTCCACTTCCCGATCCCGACCAATCTAAGGTAATAGAACTCAGCATCGGTCGGCGACCTGAGGCTTTTGTACTCGGATAGCAATCACGTTGACGCTTCCAGGAAACATTGGAATTTAGGGTCAGAGTGAGCGCGGTCTTCATCGGAGATTTCCCGTGTAACTTCATGAGTTCGCTTGAATGGTGCCGAAAGGGTTCTCAAACACGAGTCGATGATTGGGTCATAACTCGTCTCGGTGCGTACGTCCGACTATCGAAACCGTTTCATGCCAGAGACCGTTCTCACCAGAAATGTAGAGCAGACACGATTCCGTGAGCTTTGGATATGATCGTTATGGACACCCTTCGTACGATGAGATTTTGTCCATTCAGCAAAATTGACCGTCACGTGTCACCGGGAAAGAGGCGACTTTAGAACTCTAGCCGAACGATGAGACCAGCGCGCGGGATCTCTCCCAGCGCATCGATCCAACGCTCCAACAGCCGAGAACTTGAAATTTACAAACAGACTCAGCGCGTCTGATCCGTCATCGAACGGGGGTAGGAGGGCCAAGGCATCGCCGACTTCCATCTCACTGATTCGACTATGGAACACTTCAGGTCGTCCGACGTCTGCGCGAAAAATATCCCAATCAGAGAACCGGATCGAATACAATTTCATGTGACCAGACCGGGAGTGGGGGAGAAGCAAACGATGGCAATGGGGCAACGCAAGTTTGGCCGTCCGTTGCGGCTGTTTCGCGTTTGTTGGTGCATCTGATAGAAGAAAAATTCTCACACGGGAAATCGAGGCCGTGTTTGTTGGTTAGTTCTGTTTTCTCGATGTTGAAGTCTGTTCTCGCATATTCGTTCGCGGGCGGCGGTCAGCCCCTAGTGTTCCTCCTCCTCTTCATGTGCTTGAGCGTCCTGTCGATTATTGTATCGACGTATCGCGAATGACGCACGAACTTATTTTGACTAACTGACGGCCGGCCGGCTATCCTGAACATCTGCGTTGGTAGTTTGTTTGTTTGCTTGTCGATGGATTGATTGATTGGAAATGAAAGGGAAAATAATTCTTTCCGTACATCTCAACACAGCTATACCACAGGCGACGGTTGAATTCTTTGTCTCGTTGCGCGCCTCCGCCTCGAATGATTCATTTTCCGATTCGCAATCAATCTTCTTTCCTCATCGGTAGGTCGAAGAAAGAGCTCTGACGGAGCCATCCTCGAAGTCAATGCTCAAGTGAATGAATGAATGGATGGATTGATGATTGGATGAATGATGAATTGATGAACGGGTAGATCGATAGGTAGATAGACTGATAGCTTCGCTGATAGATAGTGAGTTTCCTTAGCTTGCCTGGTTTGTTTTCCTTTGTCTGTTTGTTTGCTTCTGTTCATTAAACTGTCCTCGATCCGTAAGCTAGTCGAACCCATTGGTCAATTTAATTCTCTTCTTGTTGGAACTCGGCTACGTAGAGGCTCTTATCGATTTGTTTTGGGATCGGCTTGATTTCGGTCTGTAGCTCAGTCTCGATACGATGCAGGGCGAATCTGTCGTCGTAAGTGATTAGATTGATGGCGATACCGAGATGCCCGAATCTTCCGGATCGACCTATTCGGTGCAGGTAGGTCTCAGCGTTCTTCGGGAAATCGAAGTTGATAACGACGTTCACGGCCTGGATGTCGATACCTCGCGTAAACAGATCCGAACAAACTAAATTCCTGCATTGACCTGCACGGAAATCGTGGAACACCCTGTTGCGGTGTTGTTGCGACATCTTTGAATGAATGTAGAAGCACGAGTAGCCGAGATCGGTGATCTTCTTCGCTAAAAGTTCAACACGTTGAGTAGAGTTGCAGAAAATGATCGACTGGTTGATCTGAAGCTTCGAGAACAATGTGTTCAAGCAATGGACTTTCTGGCGTTCCTGCACGAACGCGTAGTACTGTGTGACACCCTTGAGGGTGAGCTCCTCCATGAGATTGATCTCGTAGGGATTCTTGAGATGGCGACGCATGAACTCCTCGACGGTCAGGGGGAACGTTGCAGAATAGAGGAGGATTTGCCTTTCCTGTGGCAAGAATGAGATCACCCTGTCGAGCAGGCCCTGGAAATCCCGGGATAGAAGTTTATCGGCTTCGTCGAGGACCAGCATTTGGCAGTTTGACATCTTGGCGACCTTCTTATCCATGAGGTCGAGGATGCGGCCCGGCGTTGCGATGATGACGTGCACGTTTTCATAGATACGCATTATATCATCCTTCAAATTGGTTCCTCCGGTCGTAACCATTATTCGGGCTGTCGTGTGTTTCGCTACTTCGATAAAGATCTGTGACGTCTGCAGGGCCAGTTCTCGAGTGGGCACAATGACGAGAGCTTGGATGCAATCTTTGCTTGTATCAATTTTCTGCATAACGGGAATAGTGTACGCTCCGGTCTTCCCTGTGCCGTTTTTCGCTCTAGCGAGAATGTCCCGTCCGAGCAAAGCGATCGGTATCGATGCTTCTTGAATAGGGGATGGCTTCTCCCATCCTTTTTCGAAGATTCCCATGAGGAGTTCCCGTTTTAGGCAGAAATCTTCGAACTCGTTGCCTTTCGTTGCGGTGACATCCGACGTTTTCTTTCTGTTGTCTTTTGGAGGCAATTTCAACGATGCCTTCCATCCCTGTTCCTCGCACGCACCTCCGTATGATACAAGTGCCGACGCCATCCTGATGGCTCGGCAACTACTGGAGTCTCTCTGACAACCACTATCTTCTCCTGTCCACCTCGTGCCGGACGCTCAGCCCCTCAACTTGGCGTGGGTCGCTCGAGAGCGCGTTCCTCTGTTGTGTCAGTTCAAGCCCCGGGGCGCAAGAGACAAGAAATAATTTCCGCGCTTATCCACTGCACGTATCGACGCTGTCTGTTGCTGAATATCCGTGTAGTTGAGGTCTCTCTGTGTTATCGGGGGTGGTCGCTGGCGTTCCAGCGGTGGATGTTGGTGATTCTCGTTCGTTTTTCAAAATCCTTCACTTCACCCCTTCTTCACTCTGGAAAGGAACGTTATCCCCTTAGATAGGCATCAGGAAACTAAATGAGGCGGGAAAGAATACAGCCACAAGTCCTAATGGTTAGAGATAGCGAAGACATTCGGTAATCCTCGGGATGGAGCGACAAGCTCGAGGAGCTCTCCAGAGGTCTGAATAATCAGTCCGCATATTATTCTTGACGCGTGGACTCCATCCGCCGACTGATCTTGAGTCCGAATCTCAGCTTTCTCCCCCGTACATCGACAACGCCGTAGGTGCATTACGGCGCCACAGGAATCAACGATCTCATCTCTCACAGAGGGAGAATGGGATACGCGAAAGCCTCCGAGATCGGCATCGAAGTCTCTCACTATTTCCCTGGTTCCACGAAGCTCGGAGGAATCGAGTGGCGCCCAAGAAATCTATGCGCTGCTCGGGCTGCAGAATGTCAACAAACTTCTTCGGTATTGATCCCCATACAATGACGAATCGAGAAGCTACTCAAGGCGGCGCAGGAATATTCCTACATTTCAGAAGGACGAAGCTTCTGCAAGAGCTGACACGTAATGGACCGATCGGTCACCGTTGGGAGAGAATGGGCACCACGATAGGAGAGTCAGGCGGAACGTGAATGGGGTGTCGTCATCTCCGCAGCGATTCGATCGTTTGTAATCGAAGAGATCGTTCAGAATCGGGTAAACGGAAAGCTCTAGCCAGTTCGGGGGAGTTTTCCTCGACGCACGCTAGGGAAATACGCGTCCTCTAGACCAGCCCCCATTGGTCGCATCTATGACGAGCGAGGGAGCCGTCCAAGCAACCAACAAGCTAGTCAGCTTGCTTCCCTGCCTGCTGCAAGCAAGACGGTCAGAGGACGCCGAGCATGAAGGCGCGATCCACAATCGAAGGAATAGGGGATCCATGGAATAGTTCCGGAGCGAATCGATCCCAACGAGCCCACGCTCGAAGACTGAATTATTAGGTTTCCTCTTCTGGCCAGCCACACGGTAGCCTGTTTCAAATCAGGTATACAGACGGCCGGCGCTATGCCACCACCGACCGCGAGGAAGACGTATTTTCGAACAAATCAAATTCAAAAACCTCGATTTGTCGTCGACTGTGATCGCGTCACTACCCAGATCTCAGCATAATCTTCCGTGACACGAGAGAACCTCATTTCTGAGCTGGAACTTACATGAAATCAGTTGTTCGACTATAAGCTGCGTTACCAGTGTCGTTTACACAGCCAAGATGGCGGTAGGCGTTTGTGATGATGACGCGCTAGCTTCGAAGCTCGCCAACTCGCCAAGCGCGGGCGGTTCGTGCCGGGCCCTCGAATAATTTGAGCGACAAATCCCCCGAAGTCATCACCCGTTTGCAGATGAGATCGGTCTTCTGATTCAAGGATCCGGCCCCGTGTTTTCCAGAAATTGGAGATTCCCCTGGAATGGCATCGCAACGGATCGGGAGCGGGGCAATTCCGTAGGCTCGTCGGGCTTATTCGAGTGCCATCCGCGGGGAGAAAATCGCCGGGATCGACCGCATCCATCACCTCCTCGGGGAGAACTGAGTCAGCCGAGCCGGACCTGAATTCGCGCCGTCTAGAGTCATTCGTAGCGACTGCGATGTCACTTATATTGGACTCCAAGGAAGGTCGGGACCAATCAGATTGCATACGCTTCAATGTGACGCCTACGAGGAGCTGGCTCGAAGGAGCGGCGCGGCTGCTCTCTCGGGTCAAGGAGAAGGTCGATAGAGAGCTAAAGAGAACTTTGGTTAGGCGAAAACATTCAAGGCCGGAAAATGATGCTGGTCCATGCCTCGCGTCGTCAAAGTGAATGATGGTGATTCTTTTCCCAGAAGCGATAAGACCCCTCGAGTCGGAGCCTCTCCTGATTGGGGGGGGGGACTCGACAATCTCCCTTGTCCGGGGAGGACGATCGAATCAAAACAAACGCGCTGATCCTAAATGTACCCTGGGCCCTCGGCCATTCTATGCCTTGTCTAGTAAAAATGCTTTGTCCGTTCAGCCACAGGGGAAACGGTCAGCGTGTTTGTCTCTTCTCGACCCAACGTACGTATCTATTTGTGGAAGGCCGCCACAGCGCCGCTCGTTCGCGGGTGGCTTTGACTAGATCCCCGTTGCCGGCGAAATAATCCTCACGGAATTTCATAATAGAGTTGTTTTGCGGAATAGCTGGTGGTCCGGAGAAAAAATATTCGGCCCTCGGCATCTGAAGCTGCTCGGAATTCTCTTCCTTGGTGACTGGCCCCGGAGTCATTCGATTGTGGGGAAGTGTCCAGTGAAAACTCCCATGCGGTATTCTCGTTTGAAAAATAGACTATTCGATTTATTTCCTCCTTATTCGGAACGCTGCTCCTCGAACTCCGGAAAAGTCCGCTGGTGATATTTCTTTACAGACTATACAAGTACACATGAGCGGATTATGATACATGATGAAGATGATTATACAACGATTCCCCTTCGACTCGAATCGGTCATTTCTTAGATTCAGGAGATTAAGAGGGTCCACGGATGTGCAACGCAGCGATCACGATCACCGATGTCTCTAGTATTCAACCATGTCTTCTAGGAGTCGATAGCTATCACGTTCTGAAAATTCATATGAAAATCCTGTTCATGTCCATGCGGTCTCAACCCGGGGACGGAGCCGCGAATGGACTCTTCAATCATGCAGATACCTCCAGGTTCGGACTTCATGCAGACTAGCGTCCGTTACACTGAATGACGTACATTTTCCGCTGGCGTATTTGTGTACCGTCGTCATTCTTGTGGGGTTTCGCCGAGGCCGAAGATGTGGTAACGACGACACGTTTATCGGACGAACGGGCACGCTGTCTAAGTGGCACGGACACACCTTCCACAAGAGGGAACTTCGACAGATGCGTCGGATACTTGCTGGACAGAGCTACACAAGATCGTGCAAAACATCAGACGTATACGTACGTAGAGATAACAGGTCGACGAATACGAGCTTCCGGCTAAATTTCCCCAAACGCATGCTTACCTTCTGAATGGGGAGCAATGTGCAGAGACCGAAGTTTCTTGGAGTTCGGGACGTTCTGGATATACGGGGTGATTTTGGCGACGAGCGTAGCTTTTTCGGGATGAGCCACCGCAGCCATAGTCCAACGAAGTCGTCTGTGTCTCATTCTGGAAGGGGGGAATAAGGTCAAGGGGGAAATTAGAAAGGTGGTCAATAATGGGAACTCTCATCCCTAACCAGGAGCGCCGGGGGATTCAAAGCGAAAAATTCTGAAAGGTAAGTGCGACGAGTCGTAAACTCACCGGTAGACCGCCATGATCACGATGCATACTGTTTTCAAGGAGCGCTTCCTCGGCGGACAGTCGATCGACCGCAAGGCGCAATTCTGCAGGTACGATTTCTGTACGAGAAGTTGCATGCAACGACTTTCCGAACGTCTGAAAACCCAATATAGCTTGTGCAGGAGAGAAATCCATTCGGTTTCAGGGTCGCCGGCTTTGACTTGGGCTCGTAGTTCGACGAGATCCCCGCGTGCCTCTTCGAGCATGAGTTTCATTTTTGAGCAGGATTCACACGTCTGCAGCCAATCGAATGGCTTGCACTCCGGGAACGCCTCTCCCAGACGTTTCAGGAAAGCGTCATCGACTTCTCTGCGTAGGATGATTTCGAGCATCGACGTCGAGTCCTTGGCTCGTTCCAATTCGTCCTTGGTTTGCGCGAGCGTAGCCTGCAGAGTTCTAATTTTCTCGAGCGAATCCCTGAGTTTCGCGCCCATGGTCTCCTTAATCTTGAGGGTAGTTTCCTTGATGAGAACTTCTCCCGCTTTGCGAACTTTTCGGAACTCAGCCTGAAGCCGCTTGACTTCGGCTTCGAGTTTCACCACCTGCTCTTCACGTGAAGCCAGAACCGATTGCAACTCCCTCAGCTCTTTGGATCTCGCCTGGAGCTGCTCGCTAAGGAATTCCTTCTCCTTCCGATGACCGAGCGTAGCCTCCTCGGCCTCTCGGAGCACCGAGTCCTTTTCCTTCAAAACCCGCAGGTGCATCTGTCTCTCCATGTCCACTCGTTCCTGCCAGGTGAGCTCTAATTCGCCGAGCGCATCCATCTTCTCCTTTTTCAAGGCGGTCTCCAATTGTCGCAGCTTCTCACTGTGCTCTTCCAGAGGAATCGTAGAAGACTGAAAAATAGATCGACGAGGTCAGCTGTCGTCAGTCATTAGCCGAGATAAAGTCGGAAGCATATGCACCGGGCCCGACCCGAGTTCTAATTTTGGTTTCGTGGGACTGCGGAGTATTGTCAAGAGCATTATTTCGCTCAATACTCACCAAATTGCGTCGAAGTTCCTCAGCCACGTTTTTCAGTTGGTTTACTTCTGATTGCAGCGTCGAACACTTGCTCTCGTAGACGCCCCTACGATGCTCGAGGAGTTCCTTCTCGCTCCGTAGCGATAGGATCTCTTCCTGTAGCTCTCTGTTCAGACTGCTGTCCCGGAAACTAGTCTGGAGCTGGACGGACTGATGCGATCCTTCGGGCGATGACGACATCTCCGAGGAGCAAACGCTGGCGCACTCCCTTTTCGTGTTGACACTTCGTTCGAAAGCCTCTATCCGGAGCTTGCCGAGCTCGCTTTCCTGCTTGTCGAGCATTTCTTTCATCCACATGCACTCCTGACACAACTGCTGCGAAGTGTTGTTATTGTCTTTGGGAGACTTCGCTGGCACAGCTCTTCTCGGCGATGCGCGCGGCGAGGATCTAGTTGAAGAACTGCTCGAAATCTCTAGTTCGTCGTTGTTGTAAATACAGTCCTCATACACCGTGAGTTTCTTCCGAAGAACCTGGAGCTCTCTCACCGCTGAGTCCAGCCGCTCCTCGAGGTAGACTTTCGTCTCCTTCAGCTTTTTGACTTCGGTTTCCGCGATTTGGAGCTCGTTCTCCAATCCTTCGGACTTTTTCTCTGCTGTTATCACCTGCATCTGGAGTTCACTGGCGAATATCGAGGGCTGATTCATCTCGACCTGCCGTTTCTCAAGTTTATTGAGGAGAGCCGCATTCTTCAGGCGAATCTCAGCGATTTCGGCTTCGTGATCTTCATATTCTTTCTCGAGAACAGCGATTCTGGATTTCGCCTTGCTTTCAGTTTTTCGGAGAGATTCCACCGTCTGGAGGAGTTTCTCTAGATTATCTTCGAAGACTTTCAATTGATTCAGATGGAGACTCGAGCTCGGACTCATCAGCTCCTCTCCAGGCTCCTGGATCTCGAATCCGGTACCGGATTTCCGAGGACAGAGTACAGAACTCAACCTCTCGCCCATCAGACGCAGACGCAGGCTGACCTCTTGTAGGAGCGACTGCTGCTTTTCCAAATGACGTAGGGCGTCGTCTTTCGTTCGGAGTTGTTCCTTGAGGACTTTGAATGACATTTCAAAATCTTGATTCGCCAGAGACTCGGATTGCACATCGGAAGCTGATTCGGAAGCGGGAGAGAGCGATCTCATTTCAGGTAATTTCTCAAGTTCGGTTTTGACTTCTTTAGAGGTGAGATCCTGTTCGAGACGATTGATAACCTCCTTGAGATCATCGATCTTCTCCTTAGCGGACTGGAGCTCCACTTCGAGTTCGGACCGTTTCTTGACCATGAATTCCATGTCTGAGTTCTTCCGCTCCAACTCGAATTCGAGCAGCTCGAGCTGCTCTCTCTGGTTATCACCATTAGTTGTGCGACGCTTGCGTTCCCTGCGAAAAAGAATTCAACGTTTGTCTCCACTGATTGAGCCGAGAATACGCTAAAGCGCTCTCTGATGCGCTTATCCGATTAATTATCGTAAAAAACAAAGATTTCGCTGGCCCTATATGATGATTGCTCACTTGGCAAGGATGTCCCTCAAGTTACGGATTTCGCGCTCCAAGGCCTCGCATTCGGCATCTTTCTCCTGGGAGACATCTTCGAAGAATTTTTTGCTCTGCTGCAGTTGCCGCTCCATCGCCTCGAGTTGCTGGTCCTTCTCTCGCAGGATAGCCTGGACCTTTTCTTCGACGTCCTCGCGGCTAGAGTTCGCTTCTTCCAGTCGACTCTGTAGCATGGATATGTGTTCCTCCCTCAACGAGATCTCCCGTTGGCAGGTTCGGGTCAGCGAGAAATTCTCCTTCTCCAGCCTCGAATTCTCCTCGCTGAGTTCTGCGGCGGGAAAAGGGAAAAGCGCTTCGTTATCCAAGTGCGATCACGTGAGCGCGCGGTGACACGGATGGAATCGGAGAACGTTCCCTGACAGCACTTCCGGAACCCACGGACCGTCTCGAGAACAGCCCGGGACTGCGGGTCACAATAATTATCCAAGCACATGATGAGAAACATTGTGAATCTCAAAGTCGATCGTTTGGGGTTCGCGGGACAACAATGCGTGTTAGAAGCACACAGACGAGATCGAGCAAGACACAGCGCGGTTAATTGACGCGGTTCCTTCGTTTACCTTCTTGTCCTGTGCTTTCTTCTTGCCTTGTCAAACCTGGCAAATACGTTAACAGGTTTGCTGAGTTCATTCGACAGTCACCAATCGAGATACGTGAGATCACCCCTGCTGAACGACCCCGAATACGACGCTAACCGCAGACCCTAAGAATACGCTATCGCGCACCTCTCGAACTTGAAGCAATCAAATCATTCCAGAGGGACGTCCTCGACTCACTTTTCACGGCCTCGCTCGACTCGATGATCTGATCTTGTCGGTCCCTGACGAACTTCATGTGTTCCAGGTCTCGGAGTCGGTCTTCGAGCTTACGCTTGGTTCCGACATCTTCCTGTAGTTGATGCTCAGCTTCATGGAGCTTGCCGAGAGTCAGTTGGAGCTCCGTGAAGAGACGTTCACGAGTCTCCTCAAGGGCAATTACCGTCTCTGCAATGGGTCACCGGCTTCTGTTAGTACGGGCCCTCTGGTAGACGTTCTCAACCGTCTCGCTCGAGACACATGCTCTCATTATATGGTCCGACTCTTCCTCAGTGGGGAGCTCTGGGTGACGGAAGCTCAATATCAAGCGTCAACCGGGTCGATGGGGCCGAGGGACTCCAGTCCAGAACGTCCAAGCTACCCCACAGAAGATCGTCGACTTTATCTCATTTCTCACAAGAAGATCACGAGAAAAGAACAATCACGAGCATCACCGTCACGAAACAATTCGACTACGGTGAGGTTCCTGCATATATTGTGAGATCGGTTTGTGTTTTTCGCGCGCCGATGCCACCTCTCACCGAGGGAAATCCGCGAACTCTAACTCTCCGAGCAGTCGGAAACTATCCAACTTGTTCGCTGCTCGCGGCGGCAAGCCTAGCAGACAGCTCCTCCTCTATCTGACTGACTGAGTGGCAAAGTAAACATCCCTCGAACTACCACTGGAGTGCTCTCTATGAGCTCAGCGTCGCTTGAACACCATCAGCACGCGAGAACAATTACCGCTCGCAGGGTGACAGGCGATGGTCGTTGAAATTGAACGGAACGAGATCAGAGTATCAGTCCGAGCCAGGTAACCGATCGCGCTCACTGGTCTGCCATTTGGACACTCAGACGAGACCACGAAAACATCGGTTGTCTCGGAGAATGTTTGTTCAAGGACGCGAAATACGGCGTCACATCGCAGTCTCGCCGACCTCGTCAGATGAGCAAAAAGAGAGCGAGAACGCGTCGCTCTACACCGAGGTCACTGTACGGAACCAGCCTCAGTGGTAATGATTCGTCGATTGATGGCGTCGATGTCGGACGGTCCGAACGTTCCCATGCGCCATGGATCGCTCATGCAGCCCCATGAGCAGCGCGAGAACAATCGATCAAAACACATCGGCTAACAGCTCATCACGGGAATTTTCCCTGTGAAACGAACATACCTTTTGCCTTGACGAGCTGTTCCGCAAAATCGGTGCGAGCGGCTTTTTCGTCTTGCAGCTCCGCTCGTAGTCGATCCAAGTGGTCGTCGAGCTCGCGCACCTTCGCACTCCAATGCGAGTTACTCGCTTTCACATAATCGACCATCTGGGAAACTGAAGCTTTGAGTCTCCGCGATGGAACTAAAACCATGTCATCTTGGGGATCGTTGGAGCCATCTGCGAGGGATCCAAGAGATATCGGAAGTTCCATAACATCTTCCATGAGCTCCTGATTGAGCTCCTGGTTCGAGGGATAGAGTCCGTTGATCCCTTCATCCCGTGAAGCTGTCGGAAGGAGCGAAACGATTAATAAACAAAGCGACCAACAAAAACAACCAACCAGCCAATCAGCCTGCCAGCCTCGACCGGGAGGAGGGAGTCTTATCGGGACGCGTTCCGAAGGGCTCACTCACCGTTCAATGCCGAGCCCAAACTGGGCAGGGGCTCCTCTTCGTCTATGAGCGGAATCGTATAATTGCAATCAGAACTGCTCAAGGCACCGGTTTCCTGTAGGACTCGAGCGATGTCCTGCTCACAAGAAACACATGTCTTCACGACATCCGAGAGAATACTCAGCAGACGATGGTTCGATTGGAGAGCTCTGCGGAACATAGTCAATTCTGAGAATATTTCGAACAAAATCGAAAGGCCAAACCGGAGAAGGAACCACGATTCCGAACTGGAGGAACTGCAAGCCGGGGGTATCAGGCAGGGTTGTCACCACCGAGCACGGCTGGCCGAAAACGATTTTCCCGCTCAGAAAATCCGACTTCGACCACTGAACGGGTGCATCTCAGGCTAGGGAGGTCATTCGGATGGTATCATAAATATGTTCTCCTCGAGCTTTGTGCGCCAAAAACCGGTATGCCCCCCATCTTTGCGATAGGATCTCCGCCCCGATAGAGATGGAAATTTGTATCCACGCTCCCAGAGAAGATTTCGGGAAGAAATCTTTCAAGGAAGTAATCGAATATTGGAGAATCGATGAAAGAAAAATTGAGTAGGATGCGGTTAAACGGGAAGATTCCATCAGATGCAACAAACGTGCAACCGTGCAGCTGTGAACACGCTGCACCCAGGAAAAAAACGGCATAACGATTCTCGCTCGGCCAGTCTATGGCACTTACACCTGGAGGTTCTGCCGATCCTGTAAATTCCGTGGTCGAGATTGATGGTTGTCCACATAGCAAGGTCTATTATGAAAGGAAAACATGACATCGTTGTATCCGAGAGAAACTGAACGGAAGGAACGACACGACGGCGTGTTGGACCAACTTCGGCCTCTACCGTGAAACCGCAATTAGCCGACGAGAATAACCGAAGAGCGCGCATGCCCCGTTCGATACACACGAGAGGAATCGAATCTACGTAGCTCTACGCGGCTCCGCCAAGTTGAGAATTGAATGAAGGATAGCAGGGATCATAACCATGAAAGACAGCGGGACTACGGTATTCGAAGCCGGATGATCCGGCGGAATAGGATTGTTTGATGTGAGGAACTCACCTCTTCGGTTTGGAGGCCCCCTCCTCTGGAAGAGTTTCGTCGAGCTTCTTCTGCAGCTGGGAACATAAAAATAATTATGATTACGTTTCCTCCATGGACCCCCTTCCCACGGAAAAGGAACTATGACGCGTGAGAGAGCCCAGAGCACAGCGTTCGAACCTTCCACTCATGCCGAGAAGCTACCTTCACGGGCCCTCCCCTGTCACCATGGTTACGGAGCCCAGGGGTAATTGGCTTCACGATGTTCCTCCCAACGACAGACCCCACTCGGACGGGGCTCGAACCGTCTCCCGGCAAATGACTCTAGCTCACGATTGCAGGAACTCCATTAGGCCGTCAGCGGAAAGTTCCACTCACCTCTGAGGACTTGACTTTCTCCTGTCGGAGCTCGCCGACAAGCTTTATGAGCGAATCCGAGAGCTTGACTTCGCAGCCGGACACGTCCATCCGAGATGCGAAAGACATGTTTTCAAAGTACTCTTTCTGTTCTTCAACTTGGGTCAGCTTCTGTTGGAGTTGATCGTACTCCCTTCGGAGCTGTGCCAGCTGTTCCGGTACCGACGACACCGTGGAGTTGACACTGACGGCGCTCATGTCGAGAGACATCTGCGAATCGTTGAGTTTCTGCGATAGAGAAAGAACAGCGTAGGATTCACGGCGCTGCGATGAAACCTTTTCGGGACATATCGGTATATGTCGGTGCTGTGAATTCACTCACAGATATCAGGACCCTTCTCGCCTCTTCCGCTAATTTCGTGCCGTTGCGAAGTGCTTGGGCCAGGTCCTTCAGACTGACGCTTTCAGACTCCGTAGCCGCCACGATCTCCTGGAGAAGAGCTAATAGACGGGAGTCCTCACATTGCACTCCGAGAATCGATTTGGTTCCCTCGACTATTCGGGATGTCTCCAAGCAGCGAATATCCGAGAGCTGTTTTTCCTTGACTAGCGCTTCGTTCTCGCTGAGGAGGTCCCCCATCTGCAGACGGACGGCTTCGAGTTCGGATCGAAGTTTTCCGAGTTCTTCGTCTTTGAGGAAAACCAGGTCTCGGAACTCGTTCAGTGAAGTTTGAAGCTCGTTGAGTCTATTGTTGTCCTTGAGGATCAACGCGTCCTTGGTCGAGTTTATCGCCTTGGTGAGGACACCGCAGAGGTCTTCGAAATGAACACGGGTCCTCTCGATGCCGTCGCAGAATTGTTCATAGAGCTGAAGGGAACTCGGTGTTCCGGATGTGACTCGAGCCGGCGCTTCTTCTTTTTTGTTCAACTGTACGAGACCGAACTGAAGTCGGGCCTCGAGGAGCTCCTCTTCTAGAAGCGCTCTAATTGCCACCATGTGATCGTGAACGGTCATCGGCTCACTCAATTCGCGTAAATATCGCAGCAGCTGGTCGTGTAAAGCGATATTCTTGTCGCATTCCCACTTGGCAGTCAATGACTCTATTTGAGCCAAGTATTTTTGTTCCACAATTTCTTCGGTCTGAAATCCAGACGGAAACAAAATTTACTCCCCATGAATTTCTTCCGAGCAAGAAAAGTGCTCGAAGGACCCCACGAGCATCGCCGTTTTATTTAAGAAGGCGGAATAACCTGTTTCTGCGCGACCCGAATCTTCTCGACAAGGTCGTTCTGGATGAGCAGTTTCTCAGATGACAGTAACCGGTCCTGAACGTTCATGAGCTTCTTGAGCAATTTCCTCGAATCTTTCTCGAGTTTTCCATTGATACGGCTAACGAGATTCGCTCGCTCCTCAAATAAGCTTTCGATGCCTTCTCGCGAATCCTCGAGGTTCTGTAAGAGAATACTCGTTATTCTAATGGGAGGAAACCATAGTCGGAGCACGAACGGAAGGATCTGTGTATATCAATAGCGATTTTACCAGCGATATGCTGTCTTGAGAGGAGCGATCCTGATCATCCGATCGCTGAGAAGTGGTTCGTGGAGAAGTCGGAGAACTAGCCGCGGAATGTAAGCGTAATACGGCCTCTTGCAAATTATCCATGGTCTGCGACGACTCTTCCGCAGTCCCTTGAGCGCTCGAGTTGAGCAGGTTCGCCACCTGAGCCTCGAGCAATCCACGTTTATGCTGAAGCTGCAGATTTTCTGACTGGAGAGCATATAATTTCTGCGCCATGTCCGCCTCGGTCTCCTGTCGTACTCGCTCGATTTCTGCCACAAAAGGCTGACGACATTCAGCGCTTCTCAATCTGTCGAGTTCCTTCTCAGTTGTATCGAGTTTCGCCTCACAATCAGCCAACTTGACCTGGAGCGGTTTAGATTTCTTTAGGAGATTACTACAGAAGACTCCGAGGACGATTTTTTCACTGAAAATCTTTGCGTTGCCGGAACATACGAAAGTCCCACGGTCCGCATCTACGCGGACATCGGATCGGCAAAAAGGAAAATACCGTCATGAGGTGATAGGGCGACGGCGACAGACCTTGAGAGTGCAGATTTCCTCCTCGAGGCTCGGAACTCGTCGACCTTGGAGTCCGTACGCCTTGAGAGTTTGGACGATTCCAACGACATCGTGCAAGCCTTGCACCTCCTGGCCCTCTTTCAAGACGTCTTCCAACTCTTCCTGCAGTTGCGCTCTGCCGCTGAGAACGTATTCCCGGATAGATCGTAGAGTTCCGATGAGGTCTTCGACCGACTCTACAGCCCCGAATTCCTTGCAATCCGACCAAGCGGTCAACAAGTCCGAGATCTCGTCCCGTTGAGCTTGAGAGAGACTCGAGGTCGACGGTACGGGAGTCGGGAAATCGAAGTACTGCGTCTGTTCCGAAATGGAATCGTTAACGGTGAAAGCTGACTGCGTGGCCGACAGCTGGTCCCTGAGGGATTTGTTGAGGTTTTGAGACTGATTCAATTCGTTCTTCAACTGCTGAAGCGATCGCTGGAGAACGGTGCTCTCGCTCTCGAACTTTCGCAGTGCCTCGAGGCGAGCCATGGCTTCCGCCAAAGATTCGTCTTTCAGGTTCAAGTCTTGCTGAGCTCTGTTGAGTTCGCTCTCTCGAATTTGCAGGCTTGCTTTGACTTGCTCATGCTCTTCGGATGCCCAGATCAGCTGGGTTTTGACTTCGCTGAGTTCGCCTTCGAGACCACGACTCCTCTCCTCGATGATCTGCATTCGATTCTGAGCCTCGGAAAATTTGGACTTCCACATGGACGCCTCATCGGATACTCGGGTCACTTCGTTCCGAAGGCTCTCAACTTGGTCCCGCAGAGCAGCGACTTCATGGAAACTTGTATCCGACCATTCTCTGACGACAACAGAAGACTGACTCGAGTTCAGGGAAGCTTTGAGACTCTCTGCAAGAAACAAGGGCGGAACTTCAGCGGTACGTTATCGGGCGACGCATCTTCATATATGCACAGGGCAAAGAGAGCGGAGACCGAGTAGTATTCGCTCTTAGAAGGATAATCTACCAGGCGATCGACTGGTGTTCAGCCGCAACGAATTTTTCCGTTTGACGTGGTCCAACTCCATTTCGAGTTCCTTTATACGCTCGTGCTCCTCTTTCAAGAGCTGGTTCTGCTCCCCCGCAGTCGCGCGTAGTCTCTCTGTCAGCAACTTGATCAGATCATTTCTTTCTTTGATCGCTTCTTTCTGCTCCTTCAGCTGAAACGATTGAGAAGCATCCCAGGTCAGCACGCGGCTTCAACTACGTACATCGCATATCCGCATCTCGCAGATTCGGCAAGCGACTTCTCCAGTCCCAATCGCGATATCTATGGCAAAAATAACTTCCGCCAAGCCATCGTGCAGTCCCCTGGTCGGAATAGATTCAGGAGTTTCATGAAACAGAACGATGAAAGGGGGAAATTCTCATTCGATTCCGAGAGGCTGAATCTCATTTCGAGGATCCTAAGGATTGTTTTCCTCCCATCGGCGTTGATGGCGGATCTAGATCAGCGAAATTCGTCTATGTAAACAAAAACAAGGCGTGGAATGTATGAAAGCGGAGATTAACGGATTCGGACGTCCGGAACAATTGGCCGAGACGAAGCTCTCTTGGGACGATCGCGGCGGGCAGACATCACAAGTCACAAGTAGCCGACGCCGACGTTACTGCAGAGGGAATACCAGATTACATTGCAGTACTCGAGACACTAGTTCAAAGATCAGCCGTCGGCGACTACCACGAGCGCATGGAAAGGGAGCAGACCTCGAGAATTTCCGTACGACGACATCCCGATAAATATCACCCTGACATTGAGTTGCTCGTTCTCGATTACGAAGTCTGACAAAATGCCACGAAAACAAGCCGTACTGCCGACGAGGCTGCTTGAGGCCGAGAGCGAACGACGTCATCGGTCGGTACAGCGATTTGCGAAGCGCGGTACCACAATGCGGTCGCGGAGTTATTTGATTCATCGTTTGGAAAAGATGAAAAAGGATTCAACGAAAGACAACATACCGATACGTCATTCGAGTGCCAAAGTTCGACTCACCGCTTGCTCGTATTTCTCGAGGTCTATTGAAGATACGTTCCGTCGAGTCGAGTTCGACCGCTGCAGCGTCGGCGACGGAGAAGAGTCACTCGAACTAAATGAACATTGGGTTCTCGGTGTTCCGTACACCGAGGTCACCGTAGAACTGTCATGTGGTCCTTCGCCGTAATTTTCAGAAGTCGGCGTGTGCTGCGGAGAGTCATCGGGGGAACATGAGTGATTACACGCACTTTTAGCGCGGCATTCCGTTAGCACCATGGCGATCAACACGCCTGAGGAAGCATTGTCTGTGGGAAGCGTCTATCGAAGCTGAGATTGAGAGCGCTTTCAGCTACTGTCTCTCGGCCACGTAATGACTTCCGGCGAAATCCAACTCAAAAACCATCTCAAACGTGATGAAGAAAGGGTGATTACCCTCCCGGCTAGCCTTGCCTGACACTTTGCCCATCGAGTCTCCGTCTATCGGTCAAGAGCCTCTGCGGTACATATTCCCAAACCAGATGGCCGGCAACGCTATCCGAAGACCAATCAAGTATTTCCAACTATGGAAACCTCCAGATAGAGCAACAGAGATTAAGCTTCAGCGACGCTGTAACCTATTTACCCAAACACATCGCGTGGTGAGCCGATCACAGAAGCGCGCATTCACGATCTTCCATCATGCATATTCTGTCAAACACGTAGGAGAAATATCGGGACGTTCAGAGAAGCGTTCCCTGTTTGTCTTGCTTCTCGAGAAACGGTAAGACGAGACAGTTCTGAACATACGCAGACTACAAGTCAGTCAGACAGACAAACGAGCCAGCGAGCAAGCGAGCGAGTGAGCGCTCATTCAATCGCGATTCCAAGCGATGAGTCTATTAAAAACATGCGCGCGAGTAATCGTCGGACTCTTTCTCAGGGAGTTCCGAGCGAACATCTCTACCCACCCTCCGTGGAGTATCCGAGTCGGAGGCCCCGTCCCGGTTGCCGGATTGTGCCTGAAATGATGAGATTTCATGATATGCTGTTCATATCCTCGATCTCTCGCCTAGGATCACTTTTTTCTGTCGATCTTCCTGGAGGGTTCCGTCGGATTCCGCCCCTCAGATCTGACGTTTGAGGAATCAATCACTCGATAATTCCCCTCCGATCCGCAGTACTCATGGCATGCATGGACCATGCCAAACGGCTCGAGTTCCGGCTGCATCTCATTAAACCTCTCCCGAGTGTGCCTTGTTGCTACGATTGGCTGGACACCCTCACAGCACATGTCTGGCCCGAGACTTTCTCGCAGAGTCCCCTCTTCCGACAACTCTCTTTCGGAATATACCAATGATGAGTTCGCGGTTTAATTATCCTAAAAAAGGACACTATGAGCGTTGCAGCTTTTATTCGGAAGAGAGAAAGACACATCCGACTCGAGCTCATCCCGCAGCTCGGGCGAGACTTCGAAGTCCGACGATGCCACTTGTCCAGAGAGTTGTCACGGAGACGTCATCGATACTCAAGAAAGATATAGCAATGAACGAGAGCCATTTCCTCTTCCAAATACGAGGTCCTGTTTATTTTGACGCAGCGTAAGCTCACTCGGGGTGATCGGGTGCGTTCGACTCGGTGAGTTTGTGTGTCGATTTATGTTGCTCCCATCAGTCCTTAGTTTCAGCAAAACAAACATACCGAACCACCAGAGCCCGAGAGGAGTCCCACGATGAAATTCATCTCTAATGGTCAAGCTCTAAAACCGGGTACGACGTCCGAGCATCGGCTCCTCTAGCCGAAGTCACGCTATCGACACAAAGCGATGGAAGTCTCACACTCTGGGCACTGCTCTGCTAGCGTTCAACCGCTGTAAGCCGGCTGTCGGCTTGCCGTCTAGCCCACAGGCTCGTTCGAAGAAAGCATCTTGTCCAGTCACAGCTGCCTACGCCGCTCAAACCGCAAAAATGAGAGGGCACGGATGTCGTGTCATTCGTAACTTTAGCGATGGAACAAGCTCAAGTTGTAACTCGCACTCTCTGTGGGCGCGCTCCCAATAAACGAACAACGAATCTAGCGAAGTCGACGAAATCGGGTCCCGTACTTGGAATACCATCGTCGGAGAAAGTTCCTCACGGCGGAACTCTATCTCGGTCTTGGGAGCGATCCGAAAAGAGAACAAGGAGCAGTGCCGAGGGTCCGACAAAATGAGTGAAAAAGGAATTTGACTACCGAACAGCGTACCTTTCGAGGAACGAATAATCCGTTTAACCTTGAAGCTCGTCGCACAAGTTCGAAATCCCGAGAACACTGAACATTGAGAAACGATTCCGACGTTCCGTTTATGGTTCCATCGTCAGCAGGTAAAGGTCTGCTGCTCTTGTGTAAAGAGCAGTCGCATCAGTCCGTTCATCGGTCGCTCTGACCCGGTCCGCTCAGAGTCAGTTTCTCCAAGTGGAAGACCTGGAAGACGACGACGACAACGTCGACAGCTACGACACACTCTTTTCCTTTCTTCGTCTTTCCTTCTCCATCAGGAAGAGGCGCTCGAGGTCTGGCTCGGTGGAACAACACGTGTGCTACGCATCAATCTCTGAGCGGGGAAAACCCGAGAGCCGCGGCCGAGAGATTGGAGAGGACGCATCTTCTGTGACAATATGATTTTTTGGAACATGAATTGTTTCGAGACGAACTGACGAGTGCGAGCGGATGTTGGTCGTGAGCGGCGGGGATCAAGGTCGGAGAACCCGAGGCGGAGGAATCTCGAATAGCAGTGATTGAACGGTTCCTCAGAAGTATTCAACTCAAATCCACATTTTCCTCGAGTTGCGATGGCAGACTAATCCAGCGGAGATTAAGTTCTCGACAGAGAACTCAAAACTAACTCGGCGGAGATTCTCCGCCGCTCCGGCAATGTTACCGCTTATCGAGCAGTCGAGGAACAAAAGATGGTTTATGAAATGGCGCCGAGTTTTCGCGTCCCCCATCTTAGCACTGGGAGAACCTTCGCATACGAAAACATTTCAAACCACAGGACGGAACACGGACACGATTCGCCCGGAGGGAGAGAGCGCAAAAACAACCTTCTACCCGATCGAGGGCGAACGACAACAGGGGAGAATCGCATCCCATCGAGAGATTTATCACGATTCGTCGACTCTGGGCTCGGAAAGACAATTAAAGGAGCTGAGGAAACTACGAAAATTGGAACGTGGATTCATGACCTCCCTCGAGTATCGGTCAGCTGATGAGGACTGGTCTACATGACCGTCGAGGTCTTAAAAGAAGCGGAGCCGCTCCTGAGGCAATAATGTGCTGCCTGCTCTTCCCGCAAGAGCATCTGACGGGAGCTCGTTGTTTTCGCCGTTAACCTTTCAAAATCTCTAATCTAGGCAGCGAACCAGCTCAACTCACCTGGTTTTCCATTGGTCACCCTGGTCTCGATGGCGTTCCCTGCAATAATTGAGAGTTTAGTCGGGAAATGGCCGCTGGTCGAAACCGACTCAGCACTCTCAGGGTAGTAAGAGCTGGTCATCAAATCTCGGCGGAGAATCCGCCCTAGCGCCCCCTGGCACCGAAAAGGATTTCAGTAAAGACCACTCGGACGGCTCCGGATGCGCGCGGGAGGCACGCCACCGCAGGAGTTCATCCAACGGCTCTCCGAAAAATCGTTGGGTCCCATACGTCGCATGTTAAGCTCAAGAGTAGAATTCTCACTGAGCCTGGGGCTCGATGAGAGCATGCCGAAGGAAGGCAAGATGAACGACATTCTAAATTCTCCGCCCGGGAATTCATCGTTTTAGAGGAGGACATGCCCAGATAAGCTTACTCTTCCACCGAGTTTTCGACCGGACCACTTGTTGATCCGGGAAGCGCCAGCGACGGAGATCACTCGGATTTCTGTGAGGGGATCTCTCCTCAGTATGTCCTTAATTCAGCTGATACACGATTCGTTTTTTGATAGAACATGATGGTCACAATGAGCAATTGCACACGGCTCCTTTTCATGCGAAGGCCAAACAATCCCCGAACTTCTCCGCGGCTGATCAAAGCGGCGGCGCGCACTCGGCACAAACAGCTGATTCAAATTCGTTCTTCGATTACGGAGTTTGCTGTTTCCCGGGAAGCTGCGCCCCTTACAAGTCCTGCTCCAGGGTCAAAAATCCACAAATTCGGTATTCGCTGTCAGATCAATCGCCAGAACTGAATTCTCCAAAATCGTTGCGGCCGAATCCTTTGGCGGGCAAATTCGAATGGAACAATCAAGCCGGAACCTGCCTCAACGGCAACGCTTCCCGTATCCGAAGGGTGGTCGAATATTTAGGAGGCACGAGGGAGGTTGAGTGGCTTGAGATGGGATGGAGACGAAGTTCAGCAACGATTTCCGAGATTAGCCGAATTATACGAGCTGGTTCGCGATCGACCGAACGTCTCCGGTCGATGTCTCGCAGGAATCGTTCTCCAACTTGCTTGGGGAGTATTCTCGAATTCACAGTACAATCTTTCCCGCTTCTCATTCCAATATCTTGCTCGAGCCCGTTGGTCCTGCTTATTACCCCACCGTTAAGCTTGGTGTATATATCTTCTGGTGTCGGTAAGGGGTGGTGATGGTCTTGTATTATTTCGTTCAACCTGGTACTGTAGTCAGCACATAGTCTAATCTCTCCGGTTTTCTTCTTTACGATGACCACTGGAGCCGCGAACTCAGAATGAGAAACGGGTGAGATGACCTCTCTTTCGACGAGACGTTTCAGTTCGCCATCTAGTTTCTCCAAACTTGCAAACAACATACCCCCCCCCTGCTTGGGGGCATATCTACCGAGGGCGGGCTCAAGAGCGTGGAGCAGCTCTCGTGGTGCCGCGGTTTCGAGTGCAGAACGTAGCACGCTCGACATGTTTGTCAGCACTTCATGGCAGTACGGACGCACGCAGCGCGAATGCTAATTTCCTCGGGGAGGCGCGAAAAACGAGATCATATGCGACAACTAGAAATAGAAACCATCAGGAAATGATGGGACACGAAATTTTCAGGAAAGGTGCGCATTCTGTTTCCCTGTGCACTGCTTTGAGTCTGAGACCTCTGCTTCCGCAGAACTGGATGGGGAGGAATCCTGAAGTCCCCGACGCGACGATGAGCGCTCGGCACCGCTCGAGAATCGATACTCGCTAGATTCCCGGAGTGAGACATACAGCTCACTGATGTCTCCAGCAACAGGCAACACGCGACCTGCAAGGGCGCGCAAGCGGGAACAGCGACCTTGAGAATCTCAGAAGTCATAGAAATCATGTCTTTCCCACAGCTAGTCTAGATGAGTTCGGCTCCGAATTCCTGTCCCAAGTAGACGGTAATCCGTCGGCCATCATGTCATCAGCACACGATGGACAGGCGCTGAGTCCCGGAGTCTCCGATTTGCAAGCCGGGTAGGAGCTCTCTCGCGTCGGAGTGTTAATGGCGGAAGCGGAAGCCTGCAGGGCTGGGTTTTCATCGGTAAGGTCTCTAGGCGCCGTCGAGGAAGAAGATGAGATCATGAGAAACACTGTATGTTCACGATTCGCTCAATTTCGCCACGAATGAAGAAATGTGCAGGAAAAATCCGGGGTCAAAAGGAGAACGGCTCCCCCAACTCCACAACCCGGGCGGGAGCTCCTCCATCCCCTCTTGCCAGTTGTTCACCGCCTGAGAGCCGGCGACCTCCTCGCCTCGAAGGTTCTCGGGCTCCCGCCTCGTTCCTTTCTTCTACTCGGTCGCTCTCAGAAATCTGTTATTCCTCACGAGACTCAGAGCTACAGGATTCCCCCTCGACTGTCACTAATGCTATATTTCGTTTCAATATCTAATCTAATCAGCTTTGGTACTCCGCGAATCATTACCCGAGTGAAAAAGTTTGACCCTCCGTACGATTGTACTATTCCTCGGCCACAAGTCGTAGTTAGGACAGAGACCGATCCTCCTCGATGTTGAGGACCCTTCCGGCCGGTTCCGGATCACAATATCCTTGGACGCGGACAAGCGAACCGACTTCCATTCGATTTCACGAGATGCAATAGAGCCCGATGCACCCACTCTGCGGGCTATGATGCGAATATAAGGACCTCAAGTCTCTCCCTCTCCGATGCGAATGCGAAGTGCGTGTTCTCCAGGATCAAGGACCGAGAAACCAGGTAGGCGGCCGGCAAGGTCCAGTGTCTGGTGACTCCAATAGACAGGTCTCTCAAGTCACTCACATCTCCGGACGGGGAACACCTCAATACATCAGTTCTTCAGATTAGCTCCGGTTGATCTTCCAAGAACGATCCTGATACTTTCGTCGAGGAATAGGACGGTGATTCCAATCATTTCGATCTGATTTCCCGCCGGCGTATCGATGAAACGAGTTCTACGGCGCCGGCGTCGGAGCATTCTCCGAACCTCTCGCGGTGAACTCTTTTTGCGGTTCATTTCGAAGGAGCAATTTATGCCCTCCTAGGCCAGTCAGCAAGCTCCTTATACCGTAGAGCTTTCGAGTCTCTAGGCTTCTTGATTATCAGGTAACTCTAGATAATGTTATCATCGATCACAAAGCTCATACAGACGCAGTTGCATTTGAACATCGATGTCATCTCGGGTCAGGTGATCTCGGGGTCACGATAGCACTCGAGGTTTCGGCAAAAGAGAGCGAGCCTTAAGCCCACCGAAAGGGGGACTGAACGTAGCTCGTACCCATGAACGATATCGACCCGTGCAGGTGAGACTCTGGACTGGAGGAGCGTTCGGAGAGGGGCACGCGACCAACACCGTATACGGCGGCCTGAAGGACCTGCGATTCTCCCGCCGCTCTCTACTTCCCCCTCTCCGTCGAGCCTTCGGGGAAGGGGTGTAAGTGGTGTGGCGCCGTGATCTTCTAATCGTGAGGTCCGGTTCTCCATTCCGTCACGGATTCCATCCGAGTCTTGCACCAGGGATCCGATTTCGTTCGTCTGGAAGGCATCCTAGATCAAATAGAGCTGTGTATCGATTGATTACCCTCTCTCGCGTCGTATACGCTCACAAAAATTTTCATGACGGATGTTTTATCTGAAACTGATAACTGCCGAGAGCCGGAACCGAATCATGGACGCCGCAGCAGCGCCTCGGCATGCAGGAGTCGCGTAGAGTCTTTTCTTGACCCCGAGCGATATCGAAGCTCCAGGAGTTGATAGACGATAAGTTCGCGCACTTTTTGAATTTGTTTTTAATCATCTGTTGCTAACCTGCGGCGATTCGCACACGACGAAATTTTCTAAAGGAAAAGAGCGCGCAAGGTATGCTCGACATTCGATGTTAGCGTCGTGGCGAATTTGGGAACTCTTCATTCCCTTCCCAGTCGCCGCGCTGATCGATCCTCCGTCTGGCAACCGACATCCCGAACTTCGTTAATTTTAATCTGCGAAGAACCCAGCTCGAAGGTGTTTTGGGTTTTGGACGATGTCGGCGACGAATGGCGTGGATGATTTCCATGTCCAATCTGCATGATTCGCGCTAGCTGTTGCGGTGGCCAGATCGAGTCCAGGTCAAACCGAATCGCCCCTCACTCAATCTTTGAGTTTCCGTCACGAGCAGAGCTCGAATCCACTGACGAACTCGCTCGGCATGTCGAGCCATGCCGCCGTGCACGCCGCCAGGAGGAAGTTGCAGATGTCGCCCGCTGATCTTCACGCCGCGCCACCGAAAAAGTTCAGAATTGAAAATTATTGTGCGAAGCCCTCCAGTGCCGGAGCCTGCGAGAGCCCAGATGAGTACGTGACGGTGAACTCGGAAATCTCCCGCGAAGACGATGAAGAGCGGACTCCCGTTTGGGTTGAGGATCACTACAAGAACGAGGTATGCGTTTATTTCTTCACTCTCGTCTCGTGCCCCCTGGATTCGTCGAGCCCATCGTTGCTCCTCGTCTTCGAGAATCTCAGAGCGGGGGAATTGAGCTCACTGACCCAGTGATCGATAAAAATAGAATAGTCCTGGACAGTCATCGAATTAAGCGAATTCCTGCTTCCTTCTAGATAATTGCGAATCTCCTGATTCGCGAGACCGTACGTCTCCCTTTGGGTTGTCGATCGTCGTACACCCCGCACAGACACCGCATCATAGACTGGATGTGCCGGGCGAAAGAGGCTCTCCGTATCTGCGAAGAAGTTCATCAATTGGCGGTTTACTTCTTCGATCGATACGTCGATGGTGCTTCAACTCTGTTCCTGGAAACCAAACTCGACCTCCACGTTCTCTGCTGCATCCAGCTAGCCGGTGAGCCGACAGCCTTACTCCAGATGGTATGCCGTATCAACTTCCCTTTTGCCTTCCTCAAAATTCCGAGCTGGCGCTCTTCCACAGCTAAAACCTTGGAGTGGGACAACCGAGTTCCTCGAAATAGCGATTTGAATAAACTTCTGGAGAGACCATTCCCACTGTCGGAGTACACGGAAGTAGAGAAACGTCTGCTACTTTTTTTCAGTGGAACGTGACTCTTCCCGTCATAAATACATTCATGGGTCTATTCAGGTGACTTCGATCGTTCTAACGCCTCCCCAACCGATTGAATCCTATCTCCTCGAATATTCGGAGCAGTGATAGCAGAATAACGAGACCGGAGAGAATTCCGATTGCAGCCGCACAACTCCTCTAAACTTACATTCCAGAGATTACCTCCTTGAAAATTGCTGCGATTTTTACTCGAAGCAAGAAGTGTTGCGTCATGCGTCATATTTTGAGACCATCGCTGTCAAAAGTGAGCAATCCATTCGATTAGTGGTAGGAGGAGAATCTGAGGGTCATCGTGGGAGCTCGGAGCTTCTATGAGTTTCTAGAGAAAGAAAAATTCAAGAGTCGACCCCGCCGGCTGCATGATGGGCTGAAAATCCTTATTTTGTCGTTGCTTCGCAGATTTGGCGCTCCAAAGACTGCGCCCATCTCTGGCCGCCTCGGCGATTGTTTTCACGAGTCGAGCCCTGACCCGTACTGAGCCCACTTGGCCGGACTCCATTGCATCCATGGTCCGGTACAAAGATTTGGACATCTTACCGAACGTGGCTCTGCTGACGAAGTGAGTTTTATTGCGGTCGCTTCCCGACGTGGCCCGTCGACCTATTCCGCCCATATAATTCCTCACGATCCCCCATGATCCCGGCTCCAGGTTCCTCAATAACGACAACAGCGTCGAAGCCAGAAAGTTAAAATGTGGACGCATCCGAAAACTCCTGCGAGATAGTTAGGCAGTTGAAGACTCGTCCAAGAAGGTCTCCTGTCTCCATAGACCACCCGCACGCGAGAGATACTTATTGAGTGATATTTTAGTAGGATATATATAAATGCCGTAGTATAAGTCTTCCCGTGTTCGGAAGGAGATTGCGAGTGTCTTGCAGGATGAGGAATTTCCAGGCTGCGTTATCCGCCTTAGACTTCGAGTACTGCACAGATGTCTTCCGCGGGAGAATTATCCGGACTGACCGATGAAGATCGTCCGCCGAACTGAGCTTTATTGTACATTAAATCTCCAGTTGTAGTGGAAAGGAAAAGAAACAAACTTTATTCTGATTTCGCAAAACTGCTGTCCTGAGTCTTCGTTGCGCACCGCTCGAGGACTTTCATTGGGAAGGAATGAGATCGAATTAGTGCAGCGATGGTTTCCACCCGCCTCGTCATAATAAGCGGTAGCTGGAACAACAAAAGCATGAGCAGGCGGTGAGTTCAAGTTTTTCAAGTCCATAAATGTTCTATTCCGCCTATACGAGGAATATTCGCGGCCAACTCACTTCCTCCAGTCGGATAACTTCTGCTTCAAGTGCGACGTCGCTATCCACGCCGCTGTGACGATTTTTCCGTTCTTCCGCGACACTTCGAGGTACTTCGGTGTGTTCTTGAAAGCACAGCTGTAAAACAGGTCGTCAGAGACGGGAAACGAACGGTATCGAAAATACCTAATCGAACCAAAGGAGGAGGAAATAGGTCTCAACTGACATGAGATGTGTGCAGGAGTCATCCCAATCGGGTCGATAGCGTGCTCCCATCGATATTGCCATGCTTCTCAAAGACGACCTATATGGGTTTTTGAAACCACTCAGGGTGAACACCACTCCCTTCATCAGATCGTTCCCGACCACCTGGAAATCGGAGCCTGGTATTAATCGGGTCCAGGCAGAGACTGGGGGGAATGCGGCCAGAATTTATAATACGACAACCCGAGTAAGGGCCCAGATTCCGCTTTACCTCGAGATCTGAATCGCTTTCGACTTCGCAATTGATTGGCGGATTCCGGTTTCTTTTCTTCTTCGCTGACGGTTGCTCGCGACCCATCGTCTCAACGACATCTTCTTTGGTTCGAAGAGAGGGAGGAGCAAAAGTTAAAGGGGGCGAGATCCATGACTCACTGATCCGGGAATCTTGCTCGATGTCTCGTTTACGAGTCTCGGACGGCTAGGATATTGGGATATCTTATACTGGAGAGCTGATCACTGAGGGAAGCGATCGACTTACCACCACAGAGGTCGACATGCGAATTTTTCTCATTGAAACTGCTTTCAGTCTTGACAACAACTTCTTCATCGGATTCGATGATTTCCGCGATTCTCTCGTCCTCTTCGCTTTTGATATGATTGACCGTACTGTCGTCCTCGATGCAACACGACGGCTCTTCTGCGACTGCTCCATGAGAGGTATCCCCTCTTTGGATATCTCTCGAGCCCTGCGTGGGTGTAGACGCTTCCCCGTCGCTCTCGGAAGACGAAAATATTCGCTCCATCAGATTTGTTATCTTCTGCTGTTTGGGCTTCGTATTGACTTTCACAACGAAAGGCGATATCACGCCGCGATTCCGAGGAGCGTGGACGACGGAACGGTTCTTCCTTGGTGCGCCAGGTCTTCCCGACGGGGATTTGGTGAGCATGGCGTCTATCCTCTGTGGAACCGCGCCGCCTTGAGAGGGATGTGCTCAAGGAAGACGAGAGCTCGTTCGCCCACGAAATTATCTAGACCTGGACAGAGCTCCGAATGAGCTTCCTCACCTGAATCCGAGTGGGCGGCGGCACTCGCCTTCTCTCTTGGTCATCATCTTCCAAGCGACGTCTCTTGAGCTCAGGCGAGATTATGTACGCCTTCGGCGACCTTGTATCCGAAGATCTCGCTTCGGGAGACCTCGGACGCGATTTGGGAGTTTGATTGCTCCTGTCGGCGCCTTTCCAACTTGCGAGAGTTTTCTTCAGGAAACTCAAATTAGATTCGCCCGAATGCCCTTCGTCCGGCTGCTGTTTCCGCTCGCCGGAAGACTCGTTCGCCGGTGCTGTGGACGGGGTAAACGAATGAAATATCGTGGATCGGAACCGACGGGAAAGTAATGTTAAGATTCAACGAATTGATGAATTCTCGAGAGCAACTCACTGTAAATCGCTGTGGCTGCCTTGTAGGAGAGCTTTGATTTTTTCGGCGACCGGCCCGGAATCACCTGATCTGCCTCTGCTGCCGCTTTTTTCGCTCGAGTCTCCTGATCGGCTGCGCTAGCCGCGGGAGCGAAAACGAATGAGTTTTTCGGTACGATGGGTGTACTCGTCTTGGAAGCCGAGGGATTGAACGAGTTCCGAATAATACTCGGCGTTGCTTTAGGACGCAACTCATCTGTTGACTCTTCGGCATCTTCATCTGCCACCGAAGTGTTCTGCGGTATCAATCAATGTGAGACATTCCAGCCACTATCCATTCATCATGTCGTCCAGGATTGCGGTGTGCACAGATTCTAAATGTTCTTCCCAAGCGAATTCTAATATTCAGGTGTTTGGACTCACCACAATCCGCTTGGCTCTGTCGACGTGCCGGAAAGACGCGGTTTTGATTAAGGATCCGATGAGTTTTCCGCTGTCCTCCTCGGTTTTATCTCCGACAATGTTTAAAACGACTTCTTCGGAATCCGCCAGCGAATTGGACCGCTGCGGATTCTTCGTCTTCGATTCACTTGGTTGCGTATAGAATTTCAACTGGGACAATCCATATCTAATGTTTCTGGAATATTTGAGACCCTTCGGTTGAAGTGATCGAGTAGGTGCCTCGCCTAATGCTGAGCGAGGGAGTCGAGCACGATTCGGTTCGTTCTTTTCAGATCACGTACCTGTTGAACGGCTGACGGCAGATCACCTTGACGTAGTCGAACTTGTCGGAACGCACGTCTTCGTTGAAGACTCCCGTTTCTAAGACTCGTTTTGCTCGACAATTCTCACATTCTTTACTTTCTTTGCGCGTCTGGAGACAGAGTGTTGGCAACAGTGGAACATCTGGTATTCCTTCTCGAGACACTCTGATGTCGACCCAAGCCGACGCTGCAATTTTCCGAAACTTAGTTTCTGGCATTTCGATCACCGGTGGTGTACGACGAGGGCAAAGTCCCGATCGAAGCCCGCTCACTGATCCGACTCACATTCGTTTGCGATTTCTATTCTTGAGATCTGAGCGAGATCTGTGAGTTTCAATTCGATTTCGGCTTTCTCTTCGCCGACGTTCTCCGTTGTCCAACTCCCGAAGCCCGTGATTAGGGAGAAGACTTTGTGATCCTAGGGAAAGCGAATTCCATACGAAGACTCCCCTCTACTCTTTTTCCAGTATACCTTCATCCAGAGAACGACTACACTGTTTGACACTCACCGGATGTTCGCTGCTCACTGACACAATTTTTTCTACAGGATTAGGCAGCATCTTCTCGAATGGATTTCGGGATGGAGTAAAACAGGAACCTGACCTCGACCTCGAGCGATCACATCACATATATATTCTCCGAACTCTATGGGGCAAGCACATCCTGAGAGAACCTGATCTTCATCTTTCTCTCAGCTGTTCAGCGCGCAAATCCAGAACCCACACATGTGTTTCCTTCGGCTACGGTTCGATCTCTCCCGAGCGGTCCGTCCGTCGACAAGGCGCGGAGTAAAGCTTGAGGACTGGAAATCGACGAAAGAAAGGCGAATGAGAATATTCCCTGTACAATGCCCTGAATTTTTGCGCAACATCATCCTAATAAAAATATTCGCTCCGATCGTGCTGTGAATTCATAGGCCGTTTCATATACGCTACGAGAGCGTTTGAGGTGTGTACCCGCATCTTTCGATCATGATCCTGAAGAACGATCCCATTGGACGGGACACCCTTCTTCTTTGGCTTTCGGGGGAACTGTTCATAGGAGACATTTCGACGCAATATTTAGCGTACTTGATGACGCAAGCCCTCTTGCGCGCTGTTCAGCTCAGCAGAAAAGAATCTCGCTGAGAATTGACCACCGATCGGCAGCCATTCTTCCACCAGCCTGAAGTACCTTGGAGACGGCTCTGAGCATCGAATGGCGTTCCTACATTCCTCGATCAATGCGTGAGCTCTGCGAGCGGGAATCTTACCATCCAACATGGAGGAATTTCAAGAGTTGATGTCAAAACTCGCGCTGTCTTTTAAGCACAGCGACTTCTGAAGCATATGGACGCTCGAAGGCGCGGACTCTGATGTTCGGTTGGCCGGGAACGGCTCTTCCTCGCTCGCCGCCTGGGACAGAACGCAGGACTCCCATAGATTCTCAAGTCGATGCCGACAGCTCAATTTTACCGAAGCGAGCGAGAGCGAGATAGCCTCCCTTATCCATGAACCATGTTGAGAGCTCCTTGGCCCTCCGAGTCCGCGTCTCGCAGTCCTGCCTGTCGCACAAGGCGGGATAATGATCAGCCCAGAAAACCGCCTCTGAGGGGCTAAACTCCTTGCCATCGTCCCCTCCGTCGCCGTTCGACCACGTACGACCGTCGAGGACGGGATCTGAGCTCGGAGCTGACACCGTCTCCGCATCCCATATCAAGGAGTAGAAATAAAGGGCTCGACGGGCTGATCGGCCGTGGTCCGAATATAATTACGATAGATCCTAGCGGGATGCAGCGCGGTCCAAACTACGGCAGCGTAGAAAAACCAGAGAGTTCGCCCGGCTGCGCTAGATCTCTCAGCAAAGATCATCGAGAGGATTTCGCCGTCGTCGCCGCTGGTCCCCCTGTCCGTCCGTAGCAGACTGAGACATTCGGGAAAACAGAGCAGCTCAGAGCTAAAGAACCACCAGGTGATGTTCAAGAAACAGACCAAGTCGCCCTCACTCTGGAGTTCATGACGAACTGCTTCAATTCGACGATCCATTGGTTCGGCTAGAGCATCCAGCAGAAAAGAAAACACCGGACACTCCGACCTTCAGCGTAAGAAGCGTCTGCGACCAGCAAGCAGAAAATACGTGCGCGGATTCGAACATCGATCCCGGTGAATGAGAATCTCCTTGTTCCTTTTCCAGCCAATCAATCCCCACAGTCATGTCGTTCCCGAACAAGGAACATCGCACAGCATGTTACAACGCCAGAGACGCCTTCTGGGCCTGCTTGGACAAGAATGATAACAACTTCGAGGCCTGCGCGACTTTCCGGGAAGCCTTCACCTCGAAGTGCTCCTCGACGTGGGTGAAACATTTCGACAGAAAACGGGAATACGAGAAATTCAAGACCAAAATCCTTGAGGAAGGTTTCGATCCCACGACAGAGGATGCTAGTTAATCTTGAATAGTTTGAGTCATTGCGAGATCAGCGGGAAGGTTGTTGAAATAAAGGGGATGGAACATGGATCACTCGATAAACGCTGTATTCGATTCCTGTATTGGAAATCCGTCTCTCCGAGCCTGCCGGAATTATGCGGTCGTTTCTAGGACCTCCTTCTCGCTGTCACATCGTGAAATACACATAGCGAATCAAGGGGTGAGTTGTTGATGGGAGGACAAGCATCTAATTCACATCTTCAGCAGCGAGATGTTTCCCGTAGATCGTTGACAGATCCTCGGACCTCTAGTGCATCGAACGGGTATCCGTGATCTTCTCACATCCTCGACCGCCACTGCTCCTGAGGTTGACAGGCGCGCTGTGAAATATCCATCGGATCCTCGACTGTTTTTCTAGTTCTCCCCACTTCCAGAGAGAACTCCGAGATCCTCCCATTGCTTCAAGAGGTCAGGACAGACATCTTTCAAACGTGCATAGGTCTCTCTTTCGATTCTTTGACTCATTTCGTCAGTGAGATGATTCTTCCAGTCGTGAACGATCCCCTTACGGACAAAGTCTCCATCGCCACCCGCAGTGAATAGACTCTTCATGTTCTTGAACGAGGAGAGTTCAGCGACCTGTATCGAAATGCGGAACATTGAATCGAGGGAAGATATTGGTTACGGATATGAATCTTGGTGGAGAGTACTTCATAAACACACGACCTCTTTGGCTTTTTCTCCTTTGAGTTTCATCCCCCATTCGCCTCCAATGAAGTCGCCAATCTTGGCCAGCTCCCGTAATATATCCTCCTTCATGTCTTCGTAGGTCAGGAATAGCACGTTGCCGTTCCCGATATTCGGGTACCACGACTCGAGGTGCTGCCAGTAATTGCCGAACTCCAGTCTACCCTCCATGAAATATCTGGAATCCGCGAGTATCCCGTGTAAAATCATTCGTACGGACAGGGTCAGACCATCGATTCAAGGTCGAGAAGGCTCGACTTACTCAAAATATTCTTCGAATGAGCAGTCCTTGAAGTTTTCCAACGTCGTCAAGGAGTGGAAATAGAACGAAACGCAGCAATCCTTAGGATTCCTCACACAGTAAATGTACTTGGCATTCGCAGCATACGGCGAGTGTTCGAAACGCATGTGGATCTTCAGGGCACCAGGCCGGTACATTGTATTGCAGAGATCGGTACCAGAGAACTCCAGGAACGGACAATGAATTGCTCTGCAAAATACCCGGGCGACGCGATATCACGGTCATTGGCTCAGTCAGTCATGCTCGGCGCCTGGCTATTGTTCCTCGCTCCGATATGGTGTCAGAGTCGGGAGGGGTCGGAAGCAGCATAAAACAGAAGTGAGACACATAACACAAGAACTCGCCTTTCCTTGATATCTTTCGGCTGACGTCCATTGAAAAGGCTGAAGAATATCTCCTGCAGCCAAGTTGTCCCTGATTTCGGGTACGTGACGATGAATATGTCGTCTGGGAATGGAATATTTGACCATGTCTAACATAATGTCATTGATCCAGGATAAGCTCGCACCTGTTTCGTCTCCGGCGGACCAGCTTATCTATTCACCGTGAGGAGCACATCACATACGATGACGACACGATTTACGAATTTGTGCTATAGATCTTTCCGAATACCGCATTGTTCCCGATGGGAGTCGCCCCTGCCCCTCAACGCCGATCTATCACGCTAAGAGAGACTTATCAGAGTGGTGTCTGAAATTCTGATCATGTCATTTCGAAATTTCAATACCTGGCTTCAAACTGGCTTACACGGAATTCCGGAGAAGCGATCTGGCATGTTTCGGTGAGGGAGAGAAGTCGGCGTTCTTGGGAAGGGGGTTCTCATCGGGAAGATGTCGTCCCTCTCCCGCGGTTTCATCGTCCCCGACTTCGGCGGACGCGGGACTCACCATCACGAGGGAGGTATTCGCGCGTCTGTTTCCAATATTTCACGCAGAAATTATGCGGTGCGAGAGGTACTCCATCGATCGTGAACAGTCTCGGTCGCGTGAAGACGAGCTCGACCTCTTCACCCGATTTGTCCTTACATTTCTCTGGGGCAGCGTCCATGCTTGCTTCCTGGAGAGACTCTGAATTTGACCGAGCGTCGGTTCCAAGACTCCGAGTTGGAGGCAAAACGTCCACGGCCGCTAAGTCATGCAATGTTCTCTTGAAATCACGAAGCACCTCTCTCGAGCTTACAGTTTTCTTTTCCCCTCGTCGATCCGCCAAGTTGAGAGTCCGCGTTTCCGACGACTGACCACCTGAGCTCGTGGCTAATCTCGCTCACTCGTAAGAGCCGCCCAAGCCCATGTGCTCTCCCGGGGAAGTCAAACAGCGCTGAGTGGATTCTGATGACACTCAATTCCGGAATGCGCGGGAACCGTCGTCCGCTGTCGGAGTCGTAAATATCCTTTTGCTGCTCTCGCTTTGCACAGTCCACCACACTTTCTGTGGCTCTTGGGGGAATTCGCTGAATTCGCTCGCAGAATTTCAGGTGTCTCTGACTCTGAGGAGATCCGAAATTGTTCGGATGCTCTGGTTTAACAGAATAGTCGCGTGAGCAGCACCAGCGCGAATCGAAGAGGTTGCGACCGAGCTCCGCCGCACTTGGGAACCAAGAGCCGCTCCCGCACGTCTGACGGTCCACGGTATGCGTCCTAGTACCGACTTCCAACTCTAAACGACGCCCGCCATATATAGGTTGGAGAGGAAAAGCCACCGTAATCAGCTTGCCGCTTTCATCCGTGTCGCCCGTCTGAAGTCGAGATCAGCTATCCACTGCCCTGGTGGGATTCGAATGTTGGCGCCGTGTTTGACGCTAGCACTGCCGAGAGAAGGTCTTGTCAGAACCACATGGAGCTGCCGCACGTTCTGGCGCGGAGACGACAACTCGGCCACCAGAGAGGCGTTCGACAGTCGAGGAAGCACTGAAAATGTCGAAAACAATCACCTTCGTCACGGGGAACAAGAACAAACTTCAAGAAGTCATGCAGATTGTGGGGAATATACCTGGTAGGTGCATGTTTTCATACGCGGCGAGAAATCCCAACATGTCCATTGCGAGATCCGATATGTGCTTTTTGGATGGGTATACTTTCTCATCCGATTGCGAGCGAGCTCAGATGGTGCTCTTGCTCCGAACTCCGAATTGTCTTACTTTGACATCGCCCCCTACATCAAAGAGCTTGAGTCCGATCAGTGGGATCGTGCAACCTGTGTTGACGGCCCCGTACAATTCCTCTCATGATGGTCTGGGAATGCTGCCGTGATCATACCGATAAAGCTACTGTCATGTTGTTGCAGGGTATGAATTGACATCAGCTAAACTCGACCTACCGGAATACCAGGGGGAAATGGACGACATTTCGCGGGAAAAATGCTTGATTGCGTGCAAGGAGGTCAAGGGACCGGTGCTCGTTGAAGACACGAGCTTGTGTTTCAACGCACTTGGAGGGCTCCCCGGTCCCTATATAAAATGGTTCCTAGAGAAATTGAAACCTGAAGGACTACATAAGCTACTTGCAGGTGAATCCGGCGCTTATGTATTTGAGTGACAAGGATACAAATTCGATCTCTGAGAATTTCTCTGACAGGCGATAATAATAACATTCTATTTCAGGGTTCGAGGACAAAACCGCGGAAGCCGTCTGTACCTTCGCTTATTGCGAATCAGAAGAATCTGGTGTGCGGCTCTTCCGCGGGGTCACCGAAGGCGAAATTGTCTCCCCGCGAGGGAGTCAGGATTTCGGATGGGATGCATGCTTCCAGCCGAAAGACTTCGACAAGACTTATGGAGAGATGTCCAAAGATCTCAAGAACACAATCAGCCATAGATACCGGAGCTTAGAGAAGTTTCGTCAATTTCTCCTCACAGGCGAAACATTGTGACGTGGTCGCAAGCGTCAGTCAGAGCTGGTGCTCAATAAAGATCACGACTTCCGCTGACAGCGCGTTGTTCCGAGTGAATCGCTCCTTCGTTTCCTTCGGAGTTTATTGCATATATTCGCTACATCAGATTTCCGTGAGCCCTAACAAGCACGCAGCCGTATAGAGAAACAAATGTCTCAAGTCTTGAATTATGCGGAGCCATAGCGATTCCTGCCCTCTTGAATTACAGTCAAACCCGCTTATAAGAAAACCGCTTAAAACAGAAAACCGGATATAATATATAAGAGACCGATCCCGATTCCCCGATTTTTTCTCCATAGGACTTCATGTAGAAAACCTCGCTTATAAGAATTCCGGATATAAGAGAAAACCGGATATAGGAGACCATTCCGAAACCCCGGCTCCATAGAATCCCATTTCGGAAGCCTCTTATATAAGAGAGAACCATCTCAAGCAGAATTCTGGTTTGCCCTTCCATGACTTCTCTTCCTTTCAAAAGCTGCCCGAATAAGATAAGGTCCTGATGAAATTCCGGAATAAATCATAACTCGCTCTGAAAACGATCGACTCTGCGCTGAATCATGGTATGGGCATCCAAGTCATACGAAAACGGGACTTCTCAGATTTTTCCGTGGAGAACCCGTACCTCGGATGTTGGAGAAACCGGATATAAGAGACCATTTTCAATTCCCCGAGAGGTCTCTTATGAGCGGGTTCGACTGTAACATACATACGTGATTGTCACCAATTATCCACTCCCTCCAACATGTCACACAGACAGTCAGATAGTTGGGGTTTGGGGTTCTCGGAAATGCCTATCGAGCGGAAGCATTCGAATCACCCGCCACAGGAGTTCCGAGGCTTAGAGCGGCGGACGGGGGGAGCGGTAGGTCGGCAAGCACTAGCAGAAGAGAAAACAAACCGAACTGTCAAGAGGGAAGCAGTCATATATTCTGCCTCTCCTACTCCGATCGGGATTCTCTCCGATCTTACCTCAGACAAGAGATGCCAGCTTATCATTCGACATGTGTTGGAGTTCAAAACTTGGGAAACATGGCACTCTTGCCGTTGAAAACACAATACAAAGGCCCGGCTCCGAAACCCCAAACTGACGAGACCGTGAGTAATGACGGATCCCTGTAAGGTGAAAGACGGGAGCCATTTAAGGAGTGATGAAACAGAGTCCTTGGGTTGCTGCTTGAGTGATTAGGCGGCTAGCATGCTATGTGTGGCGAAGTCTGCTCCGAATGATGAGGAATGCATGATGCAACGGATCCTCAAACCTTCGTGCTGGTCAGAAATCGAATTCTCCGAACATAACGATCTCAAGTGCTTGCTTCATGAGTCAGCTCACGAACTATTTCGCTAACCCGAAAACTGGTTGTTCTCCTCAGGATGTCATCGATGAGGCCATAAACTATTTTCGGGCGAACGTCTTCTTCCGGAACTACGAGATTAAGTCCGAAGCGGATCGAGTGCTCATCTATGTGACCCTGTACATAACTGATTGTTTGAAGAGGTTGCAACGCTGCAGCTCGAAACATCAGGCCTCGCAAGAAATGTATGCCTTGGCGCATTCCAGGTAAATGAATTTCGAGGCTCCGCAAACTCGAGTTTCAATGAGTAGATCATACATATCAAGATTTGAATCTCGATCTTCGGGAGCCGGAGCTCGTGAGCTCTTCTCCACCAATCAACAGAGTTCTAAGAGGGAGTCTTGATTTCGTAGCTTCGACATTCCGGGAGACCCAGGCTTTCCCCTGAACTCGACGTACAGCAAGCCCAGCACCGCCGCAGAGGCTGAAACCCTGAAGCAATACATTCTGCAACTGAGGCAAGAATGCGGGGTTCGTTTGATCGAGCGCGTCTTCGATGCTGACGGTGAGTCTTCGCGAAGCCCATCCGAACGCTGCTCGACTGTGGAGGATCTCCAAAACCGATTGTCATTGCATAGAGAATCGTACTTCCAAATCGATTTCGGCGTTTCGGAGCGGCCTGTCCTGAACATGACTGCTCGATATTTCAGGCAAACCCTCGAAGTGGTGGCTGTGCTTCGCGCGCCGCAAGTTCATGGACAAGTCCCTGACGGGTCACCGAGTGTAGGAAATTGGATGTTGTCGGAGCGAAACGCGTTCTCGAGGAGATTTTACCCACAATAAGAATCCAATCTATTTATACAGTGACTTATGATCATTTCTGATGGTTTTCAAAGTTTTGTTAATAGCATCATTTCAATATACCCAAATTCACCCGGAAACGGTCTGTGCTCCTCTGATTTCATCCACCGGAAACTTCCCCAAACGTAGAGTCTCGAGCGATAGAGGGCTTGTCATGTCGTCCTCGAGTATTTCTGTCCATACCGAAAAAATTCCTAGGCATCTCGGCAAATCTATTTTCACACTGGCAAATCATGCTCCGCGAGTAAACCTATGCCCCTCCCGAGGTCTCTGCGGGCCAGTTTTCTTCTTCCGCCTGTATTCCAACGCGATGCATTATTAGGTAGGTATAGGGAGACGTGCCTGATCCGCATCGTCGACCCGTAAACAAGCAAATGCGCCGCGCCGTTGAATAAGTTACGATCAGGCCAAGATACGGGAAGAGATGCGCCGCTCTGACTGCCTGTCGGCGATCAGACCTCATACCTCTGCGCGGGTCGTTCGTTATTAGGACTGGATGTGTCTCCCCATTCCTTGACATTTTTAGGATGGTCTAGCTGTCATCCCCCCGCCGTCCTTCGATCCCATAGATCATCGGGCTTCATTCGTCCTTTGGAGTCTGCAGAAGCAATCGACGCATCATCGTTTGTGGCGAGCGATTCTCATGCAAATCATCGATCTAACGTGATCCTCAACCAAGACGTCTTCGTGATAATGTTTGTAGGCTCCAGTCCATTCTTAGTCGCTTCGGAACATTCGAAGGAAAAAACGCAGGAAGTTTTCATGGCTCAGGATTTGTACGAGTTTATGGACGGTCGATTCTCTCGCACAATCCCTGTCGGTCTCCGCTTCGATTTGTTGAGAGCGGTAGTGTCCATCAGAGGTGAGTCGCAGGGAAATATCAATCTGAAACACCACGAGCGGCGCGTAGTTTTATCTGTACAATAGAGCGGAGAACATGCTTTTCCGATTCTTTTGACTGCGCTACCGAATCGGGAAACGGAGTAAACCTGGATGTAATATGCATTCGTCTCAATCGTATATGAGAAGTACGTCGGTGTTCTATCCACATGGAAACTATTGAGTCAATCGAGAGACTCATGTGTTTGACACGGGGGGAACCTTTTGGATGCTCGGGAAGAGGTAGGACGCAAAAGTAGGGGGGAACCAATTTCAAATTGTATGCGTCGGCTGCGAAGTCAAATTGTGCTCGGTCTTGAAGAATATTGACGGGGAAAATATCTCCTAGTTGTTTCCTCTACGACTCTGGAGAGTAAGCGGAGGATCTGCCCTATCTCCGTGGGTGTCACGGCATATTTGGGATTCTTGGGCGAGCGAGCATCAGATACGTCTCCGAGCATTCGTCTCGGAACTGAGGCGCGGCCCGCGCGCGTGCCCAATTCGAGCGCAAGAGCGAAGCAGAACATGATTGTTATGGACGTATCATGCCGATGCCTCGAATTGCAAGCAGCCGTCGAGCTCGAATTTGGACGCGTTATTCTCACTTCGCGGTCGAGGCCGGGAGTCTTTTTCTCTTCCACCGACATCCTCATCGACTCGTGGTCAGGGAGGAAGGTACCGAAACCCTGGTGGGGAATGGTGACCCTGGGGCATCCGAATGGAATGCAGCTCCCGGCTTCTGGACACTTTCCGGAGGAGAGGCTTTGGTGTCGAACCAGCGACCTCCAGCTCGAGATGAGGTCGTCTGGCCACTGATTACAAGCTATCTCGAAGCTCAAGTCTCGATCGCCTCCAAGCTCATCAGTGCCAGCGAAGCAGAGAACTTGGCTCGTCGCTGCCGATGATTGACTTTCTCGCTGTGAAGCCACCGGCTCGCGAAGAGTTCTTCTGTGATTCTGCGAACCGTGAACGGCTCAAGCTTTGCGTTGGTACGCTGCAATGATTTCGTAGGAAGCTCGGCGGACAAGAAGCTACCAATGGCTGGGTCTTGGCTACCGATCGGGAAGCCTGATGTGTCCAAGATTTCTCGTCGGACTCGAGTAAGAAGGGGCGGTTCGTGTCCTCATGGCACCAAGAGGGTCGATCCCGCTTGCGTTCATTGTGGCAGAAAAGCGCAATCCGAAGCACATGGATGGTACAGATACGAGATCCGTTCGAGAACCGTAGGCTTCGGCTCTGATTTCTCTCTCACGTCCCCAGTTCCATGGCAATTGCGGAACTCCTGAGGGGAGATCGATCTCCAGAACCGGAGCTGCCGGACAGACTTCTGGCTCTGAATTCAGCGAGAAAGAAATCAAGTCGCCTGTGCTGTTTGCGCTCCAGCTTGTGGCTCCGCGGCGATCGACGGACGCTATAGACAACATTTTCGCTTGAAACCTCCGGTAATTAGGGCGAAAAAGGGAATCATTCGTCTAATCCAGCGCTTGTTCCTCTTCTTGGTGGCCGCCCTCCAAAATAATCCCTTGGACCATGCAGCCCCCCTCCGATTGGATCCTATAGACCATGTTGCCCCCCTGCCATAGGATCCATAGTGTCCGGCGACGAAGCCGGCGCGGGCACTCTGCCCCCCTCGGGCGACTTGGCCTCCCGTAAAAAATCATGCGTCTGACCGGTTCGAATTCTTCCGCAGGCGGGGAGATCCCGAGCGTATAGGGACAAGATTTATATCAGCTCCCATGATACGCAGCTAATTGGCTAGATGGAGGTTCCCCCATGGATTCCATGGACTCAGCTGCTATCAGGGAGCGACCTGTCTCGTCTCGTAGATTAGAAACCATATCTGTACGCGAATCAATGACCTGTGTGAGCCTGGATTCTCTGGAATTCTCGAGGATTGGCTCACAGTTGAGCCTGCCAAGAATTGAGAACTCTCGGGAGTAGTTGGTGCTCGAAAATCATACGGAAGCGCTGGCTCTGAGCACGCCGGAGCTCGCCCGGGCGTCAGTCATTCCGGGAAGCCAGTTTCGATAGCGAAGATCGGGAATGGAGCGGCTAGAGCTCGGAACGGAAATTCTTGAGAGGGGGCGCGATTATCCCACCCTGGGCATCTCCTGGCTGCGGTTCGCCACGGTCGTCCTCTTCGCCCCTCTGTCCATTTTGCCGATTCCGCCCGACACCTCCTACGGAGGAGAGTCTTCGGCTGAGCTGAAACGCCGAATCTTTTCAATCAGAGCTGAAGAGGCAATGGTTTCCTCACGGCATTCCCATACTGGATCATGGACAGAGCACGGGAAGCTGACACCTGAACCGCATGCAATTCCCGCCTGAGAGCTCCTTGATTGCTTTCGCAAGGCGATCGAGGTAAAGCACCGGATTCTTCAAAGGGCCCCCGTGTGCGACTGAATCCCGAGTAGAATGGATAGCGGGCACTCCTCCGAAGACGCTTACATATGCCTTTGTTTCACCCGCTGTATAACAAATTGGCCGGCAGCCATGATCTGATGCAGGCAAGCGTGGACAAAAAAATTGAAGCTCTTAACGCAATCGCGAGACTGACCACGCAGACAGAAGGCCACGTAAACGCTGCCCCAATTATCCATTAGTTTCTATTTATAGAAGCACGGATTGCGGCTACCACACCTGGTTCACGGTGATACTGTCCTGTCAGACGACGAACGCATCGATAAAGCAAACGAAAAAAAGGCAACAAATCATTGATGATTATTGTGGCGGCGACCAATAGGATTTCAATCGCCACAACGTACGTTCGTTGACATGCTCGATCTTCAATGCCTCCACGCTAGCGATTCGGGCGCCGTGTCAAAACCCCGAATCGGCGAAGTATTTCCAGGCATATTTTGGGAGAGGTAGGACAAATTCGGCGGATCGCGCCCTTTCGGAATTCCGATGACGGGAGGATACCGATATTTCCGCCGATCCAGATTCCGGCTGGGAATCCCCACCTAACTCTGGATCCTCAGACCTCCATCACTTCCCCCTTTTCCCTTCTGACCATCCAGGGGCAATGTCGCTCCTGCGGCGACCGATTTCTTCTTCAACAATGCTTCGATCATATCAGCAATCGTGGTCATAATCTGCGGTCGGCACTATCGCCCGTAGCTCCGAATGTGTATTCGGTGTCGCCTGGGCGGACTCAAGTTACGTAATTGCCGACAACTAGCACGGCCAGCCGTCCACTACAGCATCTCGATCAAACACACACGGTCGCTGACTGGCAGAAGCAGTAGTAACGGAACAAGCGCGGCTGCACGAGAAAGTGTACCAATAGACGCCCAAGGCAGAATTTTTGTAATATGGCCAGGACGCCCGCCTTCGCCGCCGCCGCCATCAAACGTTCGTTCGGAAACGTAAGAAAGCCGCACTGAACCATCGGACGCAGGGGGAACCACTCGACGCCGTTAGGAGGTTCAGCCAAGCAAGCTACTGGCTCTGCTTAACCAGCCGGCCGCCTCGTTGTCCGCTCAATGTCTGGATCGTTCCCGCCGCTATCGAACGGCTAAATTTAGACCGAAGGCGTCTCACGGGCGGTTGTCGTCCAGTGAACGCTCAATGGCCGTGAACTGTATGGTCAACGTGCTGAACGATAGCACACCTTAATAAGAGTCTTTATTACATCATTTCTCAGTTTTCTGATTATTTTCTAGATAGGAGACGCGAGCGGAGAAATCCCTCCAGAATGCCCTGAGTCTCGGTCCAATCTTCTGAGCTCTCGCGCAGCACGGGCGACGGGACTGCGACGCATGGAACCGGTGTGCTCGAGGGTACTCCAGATGCCTAATGAGCTCGTACTAGGGCATATAATCGAATGGGTCATGAATGTCTCGATTGGGAACAATTCGTCCTAAATTTCCGACGCCCAGACCTTGTCCATATCTTAGGCACAACTTACTGATGACACGTTCATGAGATGCGTGGTCCCGTTGAGGTGTACGTTGACGGTCGAGACCTCAGTCTCGGAGCCCTTGCGAAATCATTAAGCGCTGTCTTACACTGTCAGTGATTTCGTGTCCGACACGGATTAGCTGCAGGAGGAGCGTAGCCTTTTCTTCGCGACTCATTCATATCTTCTTCGGTGAAAGTTCAAATCGCACGAGAAAGATTCTGATGAAATGTCCCCCTGGTCCTGAAAGGAGCGAGTCGATTGACGCGGTAAATCTTTTCTATTGTGAGACATGGCGATCATTCTTCATTACGATGACGCGGCCGGATGGACAAGAGGAAAAAATAATTAGTGGTGTCGCAAAAGCGAAAAGGCTCATAGAGCGGCCGGTTTCGTGGGTCGTTTCGCTTGCGCACCTCGCGCTCATTGAATCAGAATGGTGTGGAGGCCTGGATGTGAACTTATTCAAACAAGTTTACTGGACAGCTCATTGTCAGACAATCGCACCGAACAAGACTCGTCCCGCGACATACGGGATGTGAAATCTCCGCGGGATAATGCAGAGACCTCCCCGGGTGAAGTCGACCCCACAGAGGAGCTTTGCCCCGCTCCCGCTGGACGGCCGCTCGAAGCCGCTCCCAGCTTCGAACAAGACGGCGATAGGTCCGTATGATCTGGCGTATGATCGGCGGAAGCCCGGAGATCCCATGAGAGAGATCTCCTCTGCGAGTTGAAGAATTTCGGCCTCTCTGCGAGACTTCAAGTCTTGTTCGCATGAAGTCAATTCCTGCTCCGGGCGGATCCGATTCTCCGTGTTTTTCATGTCATGGTCGATCGCTCAAGCGATGATCGATTCCGTGTCGCAGAATTCGGGAGTCGGCTCAAAGTGAAATTTCAGTAACGTGTCCTATTTTCGTTTGCTCGGACGTCGACTCGCGGATCACCGGACTATTTTCGGTCGGGTGAATGCTAATTCATTTCCATCTTGTTTTTTCGGACACCCTTAACAAAAGAAAATTTATCGTTCTGAAGCGATTGGGAATTGCCACAAACGTCGGACTGTTAACGATTTTTGCTAGCGGTTTCCTGACGGGACATTCGGCTCTTCAAGGGCGATGTCAGTAACCGCGCGGCAGCGTCGACAGGCACTATCAGTATCGAAGTTCCAACGGATGTCCGGAGCTAGGGGAACGGCCCGGCAGCGCGAACGGCGGCGTTTATCGTTCTTAGGGTGGTGGTGGTGGCGGCGGCGGCGGCGGCGGTGGTGGTGCTGCTGCTGCTGGTCATCGCGGATAACGCTTCTACAGAGGGTCCACGACAAGGATCGAAACTGAGAGGGGATTCCATTCTTTCCGTTCACATCGGCCCCAGGTGGGTTAAAAACTGTGTGCGCCGTATGTCGGACATTGAAAACCGTGTTTCACTCCTTTTGGTAAGCTGTTCCGCCCCGACTCGTCCACTGGTGTTGACTCTGAGAAGCCCCGCGCACTTCTCGTTGGATAAAAGTGCTCGGAGAGGCGGCGGTGTTGGCGACAATAATCAGTCTCGGTGTCTGCTAACGTGAACTTTCGTCCCTCAAGATTTCGTACCAGCCGAATCGAAGCCTGCAAAGATGCGCATACCAGTCTTGGCCATGGTTGCTCTCATGATGCTCTTCGCATCCTCTGAAGCTGTTTTCAAACTGAAGAAACTGGCCGGCGCCGCTCTGCTCGGCGCAGCCATCGCTCCCCGTTTCGTTCCTATTCCCATTCCGTGAGTAATCGAGGGCGACAATTCGCTCCTTTACATAGTATGTCACCCGCTTACAGTCATCGGCTTTTTTTCTCTCAATCGACCATACGCTCATCTCCTCCTGATTTGAACTTCAGTCATCACGTGCACCACAAGGAGAGCCACGGCTGGCACCACGAGAGCCACGGCTGGGATCACGGACACGGACACGGGCACGAGTACGGACACGGACACGAGTACGGACCTTCTCACGGTCACAAAGAACTCTTCACTGTCCACAAGGGAGGATGGCAACACCACGGTGGAATCCACGACGCGTCCTCCGCTTACGGCGGTGGTCACGGCTGGTGGTAATCCATCGCAGCCGAGAATCGCAAGAAGTATCCGTCTGTCGTCCAATCGTCTGTCTACATGTATGAATTTCTGTCTGCCAGCTTCTCTGTTCAAGATGTGACTGGAAAAAAACGCGTGAATCGTCAAGCCATATCAGTTCGCACCGGAGGGAGGACTCCCGCTGGACTCTTGACCATCGATTCCAGATGGCATCGGCATAGCGTGCGACCTACCGGCCCCTGCTGCAGGAACTCCGAGCAGGGCCCACCTCCTGGCTTACCTGTCGACTGAAGGCGGGCAGACGCTCGGGGCGGAAGTCTCTGATGCGAGTTCAGTATTTCGTGAGGCTATTGTGTGAAAGTGCTCCGGGGACTGCTCGTTTTGCGTGAAAACTTTCGTCGCGTGATTGCTCCTTCTACCATCTGAATTCAGCTCCACGTCGCTTTTCGTCCTGTACAAAATCCTCCAAAAAGGCTCCCATGCGGGAACAGGGGAAATTAGCCTGTGTATAAAATGTATATATTAAGTTAACGTGATAATTTAAAATGTGGACCATCATAGGTCCTTGTGAGTCATGTGCCAATGTAGGTGTCTAATGGAGCTAATAAATTGTTCGAGTGTTCATTGAGACATCGAGCAGTGATTAACAGAGGAGACCTGGATCTCGCTCTGGTCTCGAGGATATTTCTCTCAGTATCAACCTCGCACTCGGCTCTGGTTCTCCGCCAGAGGCAGCTCTGAATAAGCCGGAATGACCAATGAGAAGCGCAGCTCTTCGGGAACTCGTCTAATGCTCTGAGCAGCGTGGGGAGAACGAGATTGATTCCTGACGTCGCGTCGTTGCCACGATATCTATTCCGAGACGGCGATAGCCCCATGCCCATGGGAGGCCGCGAGCACTTGACCGACTTCTCAGGAGACGACCCGACCCCCCCCCTCGCATGGGCATTCCGATTTCCGAGGGAGGTACAGCGAATTGTACCCCAACCCACTTTAGGGGTGCTCCATTCATGAGTCACGCGACGGAATTTCGATTTCCGTCGCTTGAGGGAGCACGAGCCGCGATAAGGTCGGTCCCTGGTCGTTTCAGTTAATTCCTTCCGTTTTTCTGGGGAGAAACTCTGATCTCGACAAAGAAAATTCGAGTGGAATTTCAGTGCACCGGGAGCTTCAGCGGCTACGCTCCCGGGACTCTCAGGCAGCAAATACTGTGGCCGTGGCCGAGCTCTCGTTGACCATCGTTGAGACACACGAGTTTCGCGAAGAAGCTCGAACTCGGTGAATTCACGCATCGTTAAAAATACGGATCTGGTTCCCGCCGTCGGCAAAAACTGCGATCTTCTCTAGCATCGATGGTGCTACTCACGAGCGAGCCCTATCTCTCCCGAATCGCATGGCTCATAAGTAACTGCTCAACAGCGGCATCGGTCCGGCCGCTCTTCTAAAATTGGTCAGTGCTCGCTCGCAATTCGTTAATCGGGCTTTCGCGGCGAATGAAGTTTCGGGGGCAGAACTTGATGAAACTGATTGCTTGGGAACGTTTACTCCGCCAATTGGAAGCTGGCAAAGCCGAGCAAAATTCCTAAAGAATCCAGTTTCCGAGGGAAAATCTTGATGACTGTTTTCGAAGGGGCAGGAAACGAAGCGTCCAGCTCTCAATAGAGCCTTCATCAGAGGTATCGAAATAGAGGGACCTGGTGATTCTCCCTAGGGACGTGTATCAGTACCCTGTGACCCGGGGTTCTGGTCCAGAAATCCTTGTTGCGCAATTGTGGGACGATGCATCGGATCACAGGTTCAAAGATCAACGACGCGTGGGATAAAGTGGTCCGACAGCGATAATTTTGGTCTCAATCCCAGAGAAAGTATCCGGTCTTCTGGTCCCCGATACGATGAGCTGATGCGGCCCAGAAACGGAATTCGAGGTCTAGAGCCTTGAGGCCAGCGTTTCCGGGATTCAGTTTATCGATTCTGTGAGGTGTATTGGAAGAGGGATCGAAATGCATGCGAAAGGTCGGTAGCACCGGCGAGCTGTCAGAGGACTCGACGGGGCCTGTCGACACCCCGTGCAGGGTTTTCTGGAGGTTGAGAAATCGCAGGACATCAGGAGAGGCTCTGAAGTCGGACAACCTATAGTTCGCTCGTTCCTCGGATTCACCGGACGTAGCTATCAGCAATGAGTTGCTCAAAGTCCCAGATAAGCGGAAATTTCACATATCTACGAAGGGCGCGAACGGATCTGCACACCTGGTTCCGCACACTAATCAGATGGGGTCACACTAATTAGGAACTCCATTCTTGGGGGGGAGGGACGCTCCGATCAAATTTGGTCGGTTGACTCCCGGGATCCCAACCGTTTCGAATTTGGAGTTCGAATCTCATTCGAACCTTTCGCGACTCTTCGGTCGCGGCCCGAATGTCTCGCCATCGGGTCCGAGAAGGATCGATGCTGAAATCGCCCGAGACCGGAATTATTGGATGAAAGCGCGCTTCTACCGTGGAAGAGTGGCAGCGATACTTTTTTTGAATCTTTCCAGGAATTCATCCCGAAAAAACGATCGACCGCTTCGAAAAGACGGCGCTAGATGCAGATGCTCGGGCACGCGCGCGCATGAACGAGCGTACACGGGAATTTTCATTCGAACCCTAAAGCCGCGATTATTGTTGCAACGAGAAAGAATGTGTCCTATATTTATTGCAATTAAAGGAAAATATCCTCCAATGGGCGTGCGTGCGTCTTGTTTGTGGATATCCGGCGCCCGTTGCTTTGACGCATGGATGCTGTAATCGAAGCAACAAATGACCTTGAGTGGCGGATGATTATGCCGTCTTAATGTCCCCATCCCTGACCGAGGCGTGGACCCCGGTCGGTCGGTTTGTCGCTCCGTCTGTCCGTCTACGGTCCGTTCCTTCTTCGCCCAGTCGTTGCTTCGCTCATCCGTCCGAACACCAGTCTGTCCGTCCAACCGCTGGTCGTTGTGCTTAATGATATTTCAGTAGCGGACACCGTTTCATCTTCACTCTCTCCGCTGACCTCAGCCGTATCGCATTTAAAGCGATGCTTTCCTCTCAGATCTCATCTCACATTTGTGGTAAGCTTTCAATCATGGTTTCATGGAGCTCATCTCTTACTGGTCGAGTAGTCTCGATGCTCGACCAGCTGTGCACAGCTGATACAGTGTTGTGAATCTCTGGATACCCCCCGAGTGCACAGCGGCGCGAGCATCGAGTCTGCAGGATCCCCTAACAGATAGAGTGTGTCCTCTCGGACGAACTGGTGGAGAAATCCGGTGGTGGAAGAGGAATGCACAGAATCCCCAACCGAGCGCGGAACGAATGTATTTCAGGTGGTTGTTACTGTAGCCCGTGTCTACGTCGATTCCAACGTCTACAATGACTCGTCGAATTCTTGTCTTGGCATTCGCCATTGTCCTCGTCGCCGCTCTTTTCCACCAGAGCGAGGCTGGATTGAAACTGAGGAAGCTCGCCAGAGCCGCTCTCCTCGGCGCCGCCATCGCCCCTCGCTTCGTGCCCATCCCCATCCCGTAAGATTCGCACTCGTCTATCGCATAATCGAAACGTTCTCCGGATTCGCGCACCGTTTCGAGCGGCTGCGTGAATCCAGATTGTGCGGAAATTATCAGCTGCGCGGTTTCTCCCACCGAGACAGTGAGTCGAGACACGCGAATGTAACTCTGTATCTTGATCCCAGGCACCACGTCCATGAGAAGCACGGATGGGACCACGGTCACGAGAAGCACGGATGGGACCACGGACACGGATGGGAACACGCCCCTGCCTGGTAGTTTGACAACCGGGAAAACCGCGGATAACGCTTAGTGTTCTAGTTTGAATCGCTGTTCCACCATGTACATACATCTTCTACGTCTACGTCCGTACGTCGACTTTCGGCCTCAAGCCGAGAAATCCGACTGCTCGACAACAACGTGCTTGTCTTAAATGTAATTTATTGTCGTCCGGCTCGACCGTTGCCGCTGGTGTCAACGTTCCCGTCCAAACTGATCCTAATCGTTCGTAAATATGTGATGCGTGTGAGTGGGTGTGTGTTTGTCCGGAGTGAGATTCCTCAAATATTGTCGCTGCCAACCTGAAATGTCTTTTCCGCTGATTAGAATTGAGGGCAACTCGAAGATTGCGAACAGAAACGAATATTCGTCAATGATGAGGATTACTCAATAAAATCCCTTTCATTTTGAAATTACGTCTCTATTCATCTCGATAAATTTTTTAAGCATTATCAGGGTAGCAGAGAAAGACACACGCCGTCGGAACAGAACACGAAAAAAAAACATACTGTGCGCAACCGGTCCGGAAGGCAGGCGCCCGTATTGCTCAACGACGAAACCACATTACTCGCTCGTTCGGTCGCATTTTGTTGCCGTTATTATTATACATTTCGTGAAGCCCACTAGCTATCTATAACAACACCGGACAACTCCCTATGCGGGACCCGGGCTGCGGCCTTGAAGTTATTCACCCTTGGGCTGTGCTTATTCCAGGTACTCCTCAAGCAGCACGCGGATGACACACCGATCCCTGGGAGAATCGGGCCGAGAATCGACTCCCCCTGTCTTTCCTCGAGCGGGAGTCGAGCTCGACCACCTTGAGTTTCTTCTTGAATCGCCGTATCAGACGCATGATCGCAACCCCAGAGGGAGGAATTCTCGAAGCGATTCGCCGATTCAATTACCCACTTCACTTGGATGAGCATCCTCTGGTCAAGTCCAAAGTGACCGCTCCGTCAATTATACGAGGCTTCGAGGCGATAAGAAAAACTTTCGCCACGAAAGTTCCCCGAAGGATCCTTGCGTATGTGGCTAGGGTACCTGTTGGATTAGAAATTGCTAAAGCCTTCTGCCAATCGATTTCGAAACGCCCTAAATCGTTTCAGTGCTTTTCTTTTCCCCACTGATTCTCGGCTCTACTCGCAAGGCTGAACCAAGCTGTGTCAGCCCAGGGGTCGTTTTCAACTTTTTCTTGCATTTTCTTCGACTTCACTTTCCTCAACTTCCGAACGTAGTTAAAAGCGCAGCTTTTCTCTCGACTTATCAATTGTTTGTCCGCCTCTTCTGTGGTAAGCTCGCTGGATACTGCTCATTGAGCTCTCATTGTGGATTACTTCTGTTCGTGGCCTCCACGTATCGGATATCTCGTTCAGAGTTCAGTGAGTTCCGAGGATTGTAATACCGACGCTTTTTACAGTCAACGCAAAATGTTTCGTCGATTTGTCGTCGGTGTGCTGTTGGTGTGCTTGTTGGCTGGATTAGCGTCGCAGGTCGATGCCCGCTTCAAGCTGAAGAAACTGGCGAAAGCCGCTCTTCTCGGAGCAGCTATCGCCCCCCGTTTCGTCCCCATCCCTATCCCGTGAGTACCAGATCTTCATCTATGAGATCGCATCTGCTCTCGCAAATATTCGTGGGCTCCGTGGAGCGATGCTCGCGGCTTCCAACCCTCTCCGGCCCGGAAGTACCTAAGCTTGATCGTATCCAGTCCGTATAATAGTGAAACGCGGCCTGCAATCGTCGTAAAACAGTTCGATAATCTTCGCTAATCTCGTAGCTGGATTTTATGGTCATCCAAATATAGTGAGAAGAGCTAGTATTGAATGGAACCTCCTTCCGAACATAGCGAGCGTCTTTAAAACTAAATTCACATTCCAGGCACCACGTCTATGAAAAAGAGCACCATCATGACGAGTGGGATCACGGAGGCTACGGATGGTAGTTCTTGCAGCTGAGTTCCCAGCTAGCTGTCAAAAGTGTCGGTGCAATCGGAGCGATTCCTACAAAGCTTCATGGGATCACATCGAGAAGCACCCAGCGTTATGTGTAATCGTATGTACATATTCCATTGTGTGAGATTTGAGTGTTCTGTAGCTTAACTGGCTGGGTTTCCAGGGCCGATTCACGAGAGGCTCTGTGAGCTCCGGTGCTCGGAAATCCGAGTTTTTGTCGTGATATTGTGCAATTGTTGTGAGTAGTGTCTTTCCCGAATAAATGTCTCATCGGTTGTCGCGCCGTGACTGGTCACATTCACGAGATACTCCTTTCGCTTTTCTTATTATGTTATCAATCAGAACATCTCGCAGAGACGTGTGTATCTGCCATTGATGAAAGGGAAATCGGAAGGTTGTTGAAGAAGAGTAGGAACCACTTACCCTTCATGAATCCGAAGTCAATGCTTCGGTTCCTCGAGAGCGCTGATTTAATGCTCGAGGGATGAATCGAAGGAACGAGGTCCCAAGTTTCGGCACCCTCGTCCTCAGCCAGTTTTCATCCGGAAGCTTTTGGTAGCGGCGGATGAGGTCCGGCTCGATCAGAGACATTACATAATGAGGATTCCGAATCCGGGCCCGGGCGGATCTTCTCTGCAGCTGAGTTAGCGGCTGCCCGCGGGGTTCCGCCGCTCGTCGCCTCGAGATCTGAATGCGCGCAATCGGAGAAGAGCAGATCTAGACACATGGCGGAAAGATTTGTATTTTACCTGTATAATGTATTATTTTTTACCTCCGAGAAATGGTAGCGAAGTCGTTGGTTCGCTCATTGAAGAATCGTTGATCGATACCACCGTCGAATCCCATGAGACTTTCGATATTCCATCCCGCTTCGCATCTCTTGAAGTTGGCGCGCGCTATTGAGAGCCTCGGCGGAAAATCACGGATCGAGCGATAGGAGTTGGGCTACAGACTAGGCGAAGTCCTCTAGATCTGATGATCTCCAAAACTCGTTCCTATATTTGTGTTTCAATTATCATCATGGTGAACTCGGAAATGAGATGCAGTGACGTATCGCGAGTTCCTCAAGCGGCTGAATTCTCCACTTACGCCAGCGATGCAAGGGAGCCCCATGGGTACTTACGACGGACGCGCAACGCATGCACTCCCATTGGTCGATGTCGACTCATCGGATAAAATAACCGTCTGCAGGTTTGTCGCTATGGTCTACGAATCGCCGGCCTCATGTGACAAAACTGCAATTCGCATCTACTCTCTTTGGACGAACAGCTTTCGAGCGTGCGGAATACGACTGAAGATTTTGTCTCGCAGCTCGGAATCTCTCGGCGTCTGGTCTGGCTGCCAATATCGTTCTGTCCCTTCAGTGTGGAATCCTAGAGAAGCTCTCTCATGGCAACATCCGCGCTCTGTGATCTGGCACAATGATCTCGACGAGAAACTCCATCGGTGTCGATTCGATTTCCGTTAAGCCCTCTTCAACTCGTCAAACACCCCGATGGCCTAGCTTCTAGTCAGCGATGATGGAGGGACGCTGCAGCGAGAGATTTTCGCGGGCCTGGCGGACTCCGATTTCACGGAAACTTCCGATCCGTGGTCGATGGATATAGAATCCGACGATCATCGCAGCCGATGGCGTCGAAGAGAATGCAGCGAAATCGAGACTGGCGATTACGTGATCGCCATCACAGCTATACTTATGTTGGACACACAAGGTACATATGCATATCAAACGCAGACGTCCCCAGGCCCCAGATAAGTTCAATCTCTTCAAGAGTCCCTGTCACTCGGAGCCCCTTGGCTCCACTTCGTGTGGCAACTCCGTGACAGTTCCTTTGAACAAAGCTACTTGGTTCTCACACAATACGATGAACGACTTTCTGTCAACTTTCTTCAGGATGATTCACTTTGCGGAATATCAGAACATCAATTCTTTCGGGTTCGAACTGCGTGCAGTCTTTTCCCACGATCCAGCTCCGCGAAGATTCCCCCGAAACCGGGAGCATCGGTGTGGATTGGCCAAACAGGGGCGTAGCCAGGACTTTTTTTGTAGGGGGGACAAAAAATCATACGTCAATATGATCATTCCGTTTCTGGGGCTTGGCATCGAAGTGAGTGCGCGTATCCATGACAAAGATCGCGATGTATCCCGTGCCGAAGACCTCCAGAGACACCCGCGAGTCAGGCAAGTGTCGCGCATCTTCCTCGACATCAGCGGGATCTAGGAGAAAAGTCTATAGGACAGGCTCATTCGATCTCCTGCTAGACGGATGGGTGGAAAAGGGTGAATCGATCCAGTGAGGCGAGGTAGCGTGGGCGTGGAGACCAAGGGACTTCAGGACTAGTTCTCCGCGGGACAACGGAGCGTACTTCGCTCATGATTTCGTGATTCCTAAGTGAATACTCAGAAATAGAATGTTCCGGACCATATATCGTTCTGCTATCTCGCTTCTGCGAAGTAGTCCTGTGTTCACCCGAACACTAGAACATTGAGAAACAACGATTTCGGGCGGTGCAAGAGACTAGTGACTCGACCGATGCTTGCGCAATGTTGCTTATATGGGAAGGAAAACAAAACACTCAAGAGGGAGCGCTTCGCGATGCAATGCTCTCGGTGACAAAAACCACATATGTCGCGCAGCTCCGGAGAATTCCGCAGAAATCTGAAAATACACTCGACTCCCGATTTCCGATGCCTCCTTCGATCCTCTTTGCCCTTTTGCTTCCTCGATCTTATCGTTGGATCCTTCTACCCCACCGGCGGCGCGATTAGGACGCGTTTTACGCGCTCATTCGGTCAGAGGGGTCTGGGTCGTACAAACTCCGATTCGGAATAATGTGTTGGGTAAGCCCCCGATATCTTTCGGGACAAATGAGAATTCCCTCCACGTTGTCAGTTGTCACGGGCCGTAGACTTCGTGCTGGGAGTCCCTTCTTGATAGAGAGAGGGGATGTCAAATCCGAAAGCAGCAGCTCGTGGCTCGCGGAATGACAGCGGCTACAAAGATTCGGAAGCGAGAGAGGGTGAAATCTGGGAATCCTCATGTGTAGGAGTAGGAGGTATGTGGCCCGCAATTCAATATTTCTCGTTACGGGGCGTAATCACCAAGATTCCGTTGTTGTCGTTGGATAACGATAACAGCAGTAAACAACGGCATCATCGCGATCCGCTACAATAGCCATGCTTGCCGGCAAGTGGACGTTACGAAAATGTTTGGGACTTTGAAGCCGGCTGTCCATCCGTTCGAGCGATTTGCACACGGGAAAAACTTGCCAAAAATTCAACGGTGCGAGCTATGCGGTTCACTTAGCGGCCTTGGCAAAGAGCCACAACCCCGGTCCGTTGCTTCGTCCGTCTCTTCGTCCACGTTCCCATTCGCAGTTGACGTTCTACGAGTCTGTGTGTGTGCGCGCGCAACTGATAGCGAGATACCTTGTTGTTGTCGGCGTTTTTCTTGACGTTGGGGCAGCGGCCGCCGCTACCTGCTGCCGCTGCTGCTGCTGGTTGCATGTCTTCGGTCGGTCAGACGTCTCGCGGCGTACACTTTCCGCTGCCCCTGCTGCGGTGGCGGCGGGGCTTTGTCAGACAATATAAACCAACCCCCGACAGTAGACAAGCAGACCAACAATCGGTAGGTGGATTGCGCTAGGCTAGCTCTGTGCGGTGAAGTTTCCGAATCGTGCCCGATCTGCTCTGTCCTCTAGGAGGCTTGATTCTCGGGAAATCCTCTGTGCTATTCTGGCTCCCCCGATAGTTCCGTCGCTCTCTGTGGTATAGTGATCGGGTCCCCTCGACTGCCGTTCCGTCAACCACTGGATAACCCCAACTGATGAGTGTACTTTGGTGTTCTTTTGCAGAGATGGCTCCTCTGCGTCGTGTTGTCCTTGTCGCTGTCCTGGTTACCGTGCTCGTCTTGCACACAGTGGACGCAGGCTTCAAGCTCAAGAAATTGGCCAAAGCCGCGCTCCTGGGTGCTGCCATCGCGCCTCGTTTCGTGCCCATCCCGATCCCGTGAGTTGAGCCCACCTGTCGAGCAAGCGTAAATCATTCGATAAATCCGGGAGAATCCTCGCCGGAAGCAAAATATATATGTAGATCAGAGTGACATGTGGTGCACCTGAATTCCTCGCGAAGATCTGGAGATCCCGAGAAAGGATTAGCGAGACCATTGATCGAATCCAGCAGATGAGAGCTCGCGAAAGCTCCAGGGCCTGCGAGACGGTCGATCAATATTCAGTCCCTATCCCGAACCGCTCACAAGAGACTATACCCTGGAGTTCACAGGATTTCGAGCTCAAGATTCATTTTTTACTTGACAGGCACCACGTTCACGGTCACCACCACCACGGTCATCACCACAAAGAACACCACATCCATGTCCCTATCCATCACCACCACGAGGGACACCATCATGGACACCACGAAATCATTCATCATGACAGCCACGGACACGGAGGTTGGGACCACGGTGGCTGGTGAAGCGGGCTGTGATCGGTAAAGGATCGAGCCGTCCTCTTCGTGCTTCGACAATGTGGTGTGCTCGGTTGTCAGTCTCAGAGGTGATCTGATGCCGATTCCGTACTACTCTGCTAGTCGTTGTCGCTGTTAACGCTGTCCTTGGTTCTTGTGGTCATCGTCGTTGTCATAGTCGTATCAGCCGATGTCGTCCTATGCATGCTCCCGTGCACCTTTGGTCTCGTGTTTCTCACAGAGAGAGTTGGATCGGGGCTGATGCTTTGCCGCTGGTTGGGAAGCTGTGCTCCTCGGCAAGCCGAACTGATGCACTCTCTTCCGCAGCATCTCGCTCTGCGGGGTACTGCCGATGTGTGCTAGTATGCTACTTGTTGTATATAGGTCTGTTTATACATATGTCTACTTTTCGTGAATTTCCCTGGACGAACTCAGCCTAAACCTGTATATACTCGCGGGCTCGTCTACCCCGGTCGATCCTGGGTCGAACCTACGGAATGTTTTTCATGTCGTGTCGATTATCTGTGTTCGAGCCATTCGAACATCCGTTCCCTGTAAATAAACAAAATTAATTCGGAATATTTCTCTTCTTCCTCTGAGTATTCTGCTCACGAAGACGGGCCGAGGATTTCGCTCATTTTTCATTGATGAGGTCATCCTCGATAAACTTTTTTACTCCGAGGGGGGCGTCGATTTGGTACGATCTGGAGCCCGATCGCGGGATAATCTATTCCCCCTAGGGCGAACCTTAATCGTGTTGAATACTCTGGCGGGAGTTGATGAAAAGATTTTTGGACGAAGTTAACGATGATATGAATATAGACCTTAGAAGACGGAATAGCATAAAAAATCATTTCTCAAAGAACGAGCCGCTACTCAGACAGATGAGTGACCGACAACGCAACCGACAAGCAAACGGGACCTCGCTTTCAAAAATCTGCTTCCGACGACCATAGTTTTCCTGTTGCTCGGGAAGCGTTCGCAAAAAAATTGTTCTGTCAGTGTCGTTCGCATTTTTTCCATCCGAAAACTCGTGCAAGTCTTGCGACATGCAAACGACTCCACGTTCCGTTGACGACGTCGTCAATAGCATAACTTCGGTAAAAATGTAGCTCTTCACTCGACACGATTGTGTAAGCATCCCGTGTCCACCATCAAAACTAACGGAAGAGTTCAAACGAGGGAAAAGTCTCTCTCCCGCTGCAGTATCCCGCAAAACGGGAAGCAAGGTCCTGCACGCAGTTCACAGAGCCGATGGACGCTCAGTGGAAATCGAATAGTTCATGAGCTCTGGAACAACCTCAATAATTCGAGATTTCACTTTATTGGAACAGAGATTCCCGCCAGGCACGGGTCCAGGGCAGATCACGAGGTCAAATCGTCGCTGTCCAATCCCGACAGGCGACCTCCCTACACATTAAACTCTCAGTATGTTTCTGCCTCCTGAGCCAACTCGCAAAACGAAGACGACTAAGCTCTGTATCGGCTTCGTTCGGATTGCGGCGGAAATCGCGATATAGTACATAGATGCGGGGCCGCGGAGAACCGCATGAGAGATCGGAGCAAGGTACGAGCTCGCGCGTTCACCACCATGGATAGCTCGTCCAAGGTCCGAGTTCGAGATTTTCGTCGAAGCCTCCGTGTCCCCTCATCGAATAAGCTCCGCCGGTATGAAGTGCGTGGCCTCGCCCCATGCCATAACCGGCACCGAAATGATGATCGCTGCGAATATTCAAATCGGTCAAATAATTTGGCGAGTCACTCTCAAGCAAGAACTGCGGCGGAATCAATGGCGGGATCGTGATGGCCAGAGTCATTCGCATTCAACTTACACTCGTACCGCAATTGGTATATAACGTGGCATAAGTGCAGCTCCTATGAGGCCGTATTTCACAAGCTTCCTCAGTTTGTGGAGTTTGTGAAATCCTTCTGCAGTTCCGAATATCAGGAGAAACAGGAGCAAATTGACCAGAACGAGATGGCTCGCAGCTTTCGACGACGTCCGCCCTAAGCGAGAAGTTCGGGAAATGAGGGATTTGTCGAGGCTAGGAACTGTCGAGCACCTTACATTCTACTGCTCGATCTCCATGCGCTCCGCGGGCTTGGACTCACCCATTATGACGACAGTGCGAATAACTCGTGAAGATGACCGCTTCGAAGAACATCTAACGTCTTATGGGATGTGACTAGGACTTAAATACAAACACTTGACAAAGCATTTCCTCTGTGCAAGCTTTCAGTCTTGCCGCATTCGTCTCGTGAATCGTTGTCGCGCTCGCAAACCGTGAAAATGCAGGAAAATCGGCCGAACTCAGTCCCATGAGTGCTTTCTGAAACAATGACGGACCATTGCTTCGTTTGCACCGGATCCTGGCAATTCACTGCAGACATCTCCTGCTCTTCAATAAATACTCGCTGGGAGTGAGGTCGTAACTTCACCTATTTTCCCCGGAGTCAATTCCACGTCGCGACTTTGACCGAGACGGAGAGCTCAGCTCAGACAGATAGGTTTCACGGGAGCCCGGCGAGACGCGGCTCAAAGTTTTTGTGAGCAAAATGTACCATATTGGGGACCACGATGAGCAGTCGATGCCGTCGGGATACGCTGCTCGCTCGAGGTCCGATGGATTCTGATCTCAGTCGTCAGATAATTTGGCGGGCCGCCGGAGTCAAAGCTCCCAACAGATTTTCACCGCACGCGAGCTCCTCTCGCAGCGGAGTGCTTCCTGCATGATCGCGAGAATTACGCTGCGACCAGAATGCTGGCGTGGTCAAGGAGCATAACTGACAGCTTTCTGCGGCACGAAGCCGGCTATCAATACGCTGTTAGCGAAGCTTTGTGTTATTCAATCGAACGTGAAGATTCAGGTGCTAGCTATTTTTAAACGAGAAGCACGAGGAGCTCGAGTCCTTACAATGACAATGTATTGAGAGATATATGGTAACTGGCGTTATCATTGCAACCCGGCCATCGCTTGAGTGGTCGGAACCTTGATTTCGTGATTCGATTCTTCACCGGCTCGCTCGACTATATAAGAAGCTTCTCGTGCTTAGACTAATCGTCATTTTTCCAGCCACTCCCACACTCAAGAGAAAAGTAAGTTTGGAAATCTCCATGAGCTCCCGCGCTGCAACTTACTTAGCTCGCTCTGCAACGTCTGTGTTCTGCCAAGTTCGAACCTCAGGGATTAAAATCGTGTAGTGGCTCGATGCTTCCGAGCTCTTCCGAGGCTTGATCCCGCTCCGTGATATGCGTCAACGCCCTCAAGCTGTACGGGGTCAGGAGTTCGACGCTATCTCATTCGAGGAATATCTGAATCTTCCTCATGAGGACAAGTATTCGTTCCGGAGATGGACGATGTATCTACCTGCCACCGACGGGGCTGTGCTTAGACGCTGCGGCGGAGCATTACTAGCCCCTTTTTCGGGGTCCTTTGCTCAAGGGACCGGCTCCCGGAAGCTATCGATCATCATGTTCTAAATGGAAACTTCGACTTGAATATTCTAGATGATATATCTCGATGGATCTCGTTTAATGGTCATAGCCATGGTCCTAGCCTTCCTAGGGATCACACCCACCACACAGGGGAATCGACTGAAAAAGATCGGCAGACTGGCTCTCCTCGGAGTGGCCCTCGGACCTCGACCGATGATCTTACCCGTTCCTCAGTAAGTTTCCTACTATGAGGCACGAATAAGCCCCGTGATTGATTCTTACATCTGATAGCGATGGCATCCAAATAACTATGTCAATTCCGCAGCGCTGCCAAGCCAAAACCCGTCCTGGTAGAGGTGAATCATGACAAGCTCTTCAACCTCGGCCACGGTTACGGACACCATCATGGTTACGAGCATCACGGATGGTAGGCAGATCTAGGATCATCTCGATCGAATTCGTGGATATCATCAGCAAATTCTGAGGAAGCGCTTTTTTCGTCGTTCTGTTGCTGCTCCATGATCCTACGAAAATCATTTTGTCTTGGCTCGGGATGTGATCGGTGCCGTTTTGTGTCGTTCGTGTGATATTTTCTGTGATCTCGTTTGCTTGAGTTTGGTTGCGGGGGAAGTGAAATATCTGTCCAGCATGTCTGTAACATCAGAAGATCCAATAAGCATTGGAAATAATTTAAAGCTGAATGGGATGCCTTGAAAATGGCAAATAATAAAACGTTAGCTACATTCTTCGGAATCCAACGACTTTTCGAGTTTGTCAAGCTCCCCAGAGAGCATTAGGGAAGTCTCGAGCCTCCAACTAAGCTAGACCTGGGAGAAGTCTCAGTCTCATTACCTACTCATTCGGGCTCTGGGCATCCGATGGTTCACATGTGAAGTTATCGTGAGAGACCAATGACATGGGGTGGCCGACCCGACTTGTCAGGCCAGAGAATTCAGATCGAACTTAGGAATTGCGCAACTCTTCGCTTACGGTCTGATCGGGTTCATTCGAGAATAGAGTCATGGCTTTTCTCCCATGGTTTCAAAATTCTCCTCCAATGACGATGCGAAACGCGATCGGATACATTTCGCAACTTTCTGAGACGTCGTTTCACTGATAGTCGAACGCTAGTATCAATTGATGATCTAGATGTCTTTTCGCGGCCGCGACAGATTCACGGAGACATTGGCACTTGGGTGAGCTTCGAGCGCAAGAAAAACCACGATTTCGATTTCGAAAGCAATTATCTTCTCTCAATTCGCACGAAATGGTCAAAACTCTTTTCTCTCAGAAGGGACACGAAAGCGAGAAACACGACATCCTTCGGCCGCCTATTGTTGGACTTTCGTTCGAATAGCTTTCAGACGAGCATCCCTTCGTTTTGTAACACCGCTCTAGCGTCCGCGTTGTCCCAGGAATGTCCCACAAAACGTCAAGGCAAGCTAGTCGGGCCATTTTTTTGCGCTGCAAAGGAAATCGACGAGGCTTATGATCAGGGAGGTGCACCCTCAGGCGCATACCGATCCAATGAACGGCCGATCCCATGTTGAACTAGCCCCTTATGCGACGTGAAAGGAAATAGGTTTATGAATTCAAACGTCTCAAGGTCAATCGTGACCGAGATCTTGAATTCTTACGTAATGAGGGTGGCTCACATTAGTTTCCCCGGAGTCTGAATAGTTGACACGGTCCTCTCAAAATATTAGAGCTGATGATGGTCCTGGGAACCGAACAAGGAACCGCGAAGTCTTATTTTCTAATCATGCCTGAGCTACCGCGTAGTCCTCATCTTTGATTATGCCATGAACTAACAGCTCATCATGAGAGCTAGGAAGCTCAAGCATTTATAATGAGCATTTTGAGCATTTAAAATAAGCATTATAAGCATACGAAATTAGCATTTATAAGCATTTACACGCAATAATAGGCATTTATAAGCGTTGATGTCATCGGCGACTCTCGAGCCCCGAAGTTCACGGGAAACGCGCAGAGGATTAACTTAGCAGTCAACAGTCCAAGACACAGACGGACAGGGGGGGGGGTCGGGAATCGGAATCTAGCTGAGAGGGCCGGTAGAATCATCGAAATGGAAGAACGTCGAGAGTGAGACTGAAGCTACAAGTTTTGTTCGC